AAATGAACATAGTTGCATTTGAAATATACCATATATATATATATGTATATATATATATATGTATATATATATATATGTATATATATATATATATATGGGTTGGGTTCACGTGAGACCAAGAGTTTTTCGTAAGACCCGTAAGACCAATTTATGTTCATTGATCAACTTTATAATCTAATAATTTAATGGTCTAAAGTTGCAAGGTGACAATTTTGTAATCATTGATAAGTCTTGTGGCGTTTTCGCGGTCCGATTTGGGCGGTTTAAGCCCTCAGACCACAAACCAAACCGTAATGGCGGTTTGTGAAATTTTCAGACCGAGCGGTTTGAAACCAAGTGCCCAGACCGGTCAAACCAGACCATGAAAAAGCGGTCTGGTCTGACCGGTTTAGACGGTTTGGGCCTTTAATGGGCTTTAAACATTAAAACCAAAAAACCTAGTGTCATATGTACTATTATAAATTTGAATAATAAATATTAATCACCCATCATAATCATCTCCCATGGAGATTTGTTTTCTACAATAAAAGTACTAAAAAATAAGTGTCCTTCACATGTGAGTAATCTGCATACCAACCACTAAGCATTGAAGYAGCCATTAAAGTTTAAACCCAATTTAAACAATCCAAAGTCCAAAGTCCAAACAAATAAATATGTAAAACATACCAAAAAACAAAGTCAAAATAAAATCCAAATCTTAGTGTTCATTGTTTAAAAAAAGTCAAAACACTAGGGATTTAGATGAATTAGGCGACGTCGCGACGATTAGGAATGAAAAAGAGGTGGATAGTGGATACCGTGGAATCGTGGACAGTGGATTACTAGATGTTTGGATTAGCCGATTAGGTTAGGAATTACGAAATTAGGGATTTAGATTTAGAGGATTTAGGAAATCTTTTGGATAAGGCTTTATGTTTGGGCTGAATAATTATAGCCCATAAGGTATAAATTAAAGTTGGGTATTTAATTGGGCTGAATAATTATAATACTAAAATAAAATTATATATATATATATATATATACATATATATGGTGGTCGGGTTGGTCCAAACCGCCCAAAAAAAAGTCTAAACCGCAAACCGAACAGACTGCCCGGTTTCGGCTATTTTTCAAACCAGACCGGACCGTCAGACCGCTCAAACCGCCAAAAACGGTCCGGTTTGACTTGGTTTGGCTGGTTTGAGTGGTCCGGCGGTTTTTTTGAACACCCCTATGTATTTCGTTACTTTAGTGTCCTCTCCTTTCTCATGTAACATAAACGCATGCACAATTAAATATGTACACAAGGTGAACACATTGTTGATACAATGAAAACAACTTTAACATAATTGTACTAGGATGTTCACAATGTGATCGCGGGTGGTATGTTTAGATTTAATTTGTTGTTTTAGTTGGTATTCACAATATGTTCACAAGTTATATCAGATCTTATGGATCTAAAGTGTGTTTAAACTGTGTCCACTAATTATAATAATATTTTTGTAAAAAAATGTTTACTATTTTTGTTCATATTTAATTGTGTGTATTTTAATAAAGATATATCATAAAAAATTAAAGAAGAAAAAAATATTTATATTGGTATCAAACTAAATATTTAAAATTTCTCTTTTTTCTGTATTTATTTAATTCATTTTTTTTATTTTCGGTTTAATAATATAATTTTTCATAAAAATAATAATTAAGTATTTTGTTAAAACTCAATGATTATCTTAATTATATTTTAGATTTTTTATATTTAAAATGAGATGTTTATCCTCTATTTGATTATGTTTATCCGCAGTTAGTTACATGAATTCAAACATAAAACTTTAATAAATTGTATTTACGCAAAATTACTTGCAATCTTGAATTTTAAGTAATATGTATCAATAAACAATACTTCATGCATAAAAAATGGGTTTTAAGAATTTTTGTCAAATGATTTATAATATAGTATAAATTATTTAATACAAAATCTAATATTTAAAATATTTCCAATTAATTGAAATTAACAAAACACATTCACCAAAATCTATGTGTAATTACTAGATAACTCTTTTATGGTTTATATTTTTTGAAATATATATTATTTATATACGGTAAATGTAACAAATAAACTTATACAACCCTACTCATATTTAGTGAGGTTTGAACATCTGACTTTCTAAGAAGTCAAAGAAGTTTGTAACTCAGCAATGTATGAATCGATTAACAATGTCTTGTTCTAACAATAATCGAGCATACAATAGTTTGTTTGCTGACTAGGTTAAAAATCAATACACTTATATATAAAAGTGATTTTGATCAATGCAACTGTTTTGTACTATTGAAACTGAGTTAATCTGGTTAAAAGAATCCTTAATGTATTATTGAAGTAATTTCACTCTATTTAATGTAAAATTAACAATGCATAAAATATTATTTACAAGATATTAAATTGGATCGAAATGAAATTTAGATAAACAAACACGTTTTAACCACTTAAACAATCATATAACGTAAAATAAGGGGTTGTTTGGGATTGCTTATTTGAAACAACTTATGTTTTTTCTGTAAAAGTTCTTATTAATGGTTTAATTTCTTTAAAAACTTCTTATTACCGGTTTGACACCGGTATAAGCTGTTTATTCAAAACACTTAAAAATGCTTATTACCAGTGTCATACCGGAATAAGTCAATAAGTTGTTTTTAAGCAATCTTAAACACCCCCTAAAATTGTCAGAAGTAGAGACTGTATAAAGTAACTTTCTTTAAAGAAAATAGCCCATAAGTCAGGCTCATATATTAATCAGAACACTATTAGTAAGTTTAAAAAATAAATTAACTGATAATTATCAAGACGATGATCAATAATTGATCGAAAAAATATCAGATATATCAGTGGCCCAGATTCCTAGATAGACAACAATGGAGAATTTTTCATAGTCAAACATAACCTTGAATTCTATATAATTTTTATTTTTAAAAATCATCAATTTAGATTCAATCATGATTTGATCAAAGTGGGCCCACCCCTCAACATCAAATCTAACCACTAGCTACCTAAAATTTCTTCATAATCACTATAATATATATATATATATATATATATATATATATATATATATATATATATATTTGGGCTCACCTTCTCCTTTCATTCCCATTCATCAAACCTTCAAAGAAACCACCACTCAAATATGTGCAAAGGCACACAAGAAGAAGACATGGGGATGGTGGTTTCATCTCATCCCACCACCACAACAGCAACAATTTCTTGTGAGCTTTGCAACTCAAATGCCTCACTTTATTGTCAAGCCGACGACGCGTTTTTATGCCGAAAATGCGATAAAAAGGTTCACAGTGCTAACTTTTTGGCTCGTAGGCACATCCGTTGCTTGTTGTGCATCACTTGCTCTGGGTCCACACATCGGTATCTCGTTGGAACGTCTCTCGAGGTTCAACTTCCATCGTTTGTTCGGACAGAGAGAAGGAACTCTGATTGGCCTGATGATAGATGCTCCGAGGACCAGATAACACGACCTTTCTTGTTTTTTTAGTTTTTTTTTATCTGTAATTATATGATATTCTAGAATTATTTGCAAGAGAGTATTCATATTATGAGATGATTGGATTTTCTGCATAGGTTAGTTTTAGATCCAATAAGAAAGATGAATATAAAATTTAATTTTGTATATGAATTTTTTTATTGATAAAATAAGATGATATTTGTTAATAAACTGAAATTAAAATATATAAAAAAACTGAAATGGATTTGGATTTCAAATTCATTTCAATCCCATGTTTGGTTTGTTGGATTGTCTGGATTTGAAATCCTAAGAATTAATTAAAATCCTACAAACATAAGATTTTTGAAATCCATAGGGAGTGTTCAGGATTTCACGGGATTATATAGGATTGTATGAAATAAGGTTTTAAAAAACGCTAAAAACATTTGTTTTGTAATAACCGATTAATAAAAATGTAATTTAATTATTTTTATAAATAATGGAATCCAATTCCATTCCAAATCCTACAAACCAAACACACCAATGATTTTAAATATAAATCCCTCAATGAAATCCAAATTCTCAAAAACAATCCTGCAAACCAAACAGACTTTTAATGTTTTAAATGCATTTTAAATTCTTAAATATTGTGTTATGAACTAGTTGAATTCATAGTATTTACGTTATTTAAGTAATTTATATTATTTTAATTTTTTTGTCATTTTAAAAATTATCAAACAGTTTATTTTCATTTAACACTTAGGTAGACATAAAGGTTAAACTCGTCATTTTTGTTGTTCAGATTATTTATTCAAAACAAAAATCAAACAACAATTTATCTTTAACACTTTTGGGGTAACTCAAGAGACAAGGATCTGGTTTTGCTCCCCGTAGCTCAGAGGACTTCGGTTTAAGTCCTCTCAAACCCTGAATAGTTTGTTTGATTGTTAACTTCAGGAATCCATAGGATTAGTCTCGAAAAAAACATACAACTATATGGGTGGTGCACAATTGGTTTGAGCTTGAGTTCCAAAGGTCAAAAATGTCTGGAGGTCCCAGGTTCGAATCCAAGGGGGAATAAATATCCCTTCGTGGCCACAAGGGCTCAAATGTGGTGACTCCGAGCTACCCACGAAGCCAGTAGTCATCCTAGGATTAGTTGGCTCGTTTAACGGGTTGGATATGTGACTTATAAATAATGGGGTATCAGAAAAGTATGTGGGTGTTTATTATCTGAAATAGGAAAGAATGGACACTATGTATCTTTTAAATCAAGTATAAGCGAATCACTTTGAAACTTATTTGCTTGAATCAAAAAACATCTAAATCTAATCAAATTTTGATCAAAATGCAACTCAAAGCGATTGCCTCCACGACTGGAATCCAAAAGACTTGAAAAATGAAGGCTTTCAGCTTCAAAACATCCTTAAAACAAATCGACCTCCCGTCCTTCGAATCCTTCAAAGTTTCAAAACGGAAAAACTTGGCTTCTTGCTCTATAAAGCCCCGAAAAGATAACAAGTGTATGCGCACGTACCTTTTTCCAGGAAGAACACGAAGGCGCCTTCATAAACAACAGTGGGTGAAAAACATTATAAATGCCATCACTTATCAGAAACATCATCAGTTGTTCCAGTATCAGCAGAATTCGATCCCATGGCCTGAAACTGCTTAAGTTAGTCGAATTTAACATATGAAATTAACCCGTTGGATGATTTCGAGGATCAGATATCCTACTTTAAAGGAAACATATCACAAATTGCCAGTTTGATATGATTCTTTACATGGGAAAATAACTATTTAACACAATCTCCATAGATTCTGAGTTTTGACTCAAAATTTGTTAAAGATATGGAGTTAATAGTAATGAGTTGATACCTTATATAACAAAAAGAACTCAGAAATCTGTTGTCACAAGAGGGTCATAGTCATATGCTTCACCAGCCTTCACAAATCTACCTTTCACGCGCTTTCTAGTATCAGCTCTAGCTTTACGAGAAGCATATCTTATTTGTTTACCAAACCTACACATCATAAACAACAACAATTCGATAAAAATTCAATCTTTGAAGCAAGAATTGCCAGTTTTCATCAAGATTTAGAAGCACGTACGTTCTTGTTTTCTTTTTCTCGTTGTATCTCATCTTAGCTTTGTCCCTTGCTTGTGGGCTGGATTCGAAATTCGACTCCCATGGTGATTCACCTGTGAAGAACATTGGTGATAATCCACAATCTTGATAATCTGCAGCACTACTCTCTCCAGTTATGTTTGATAGCGAAAGGGACATATTATTAGGGACAGTGGGAAAACCCAGATTCATAGCACTCCGATTGCAGCCAGGATTCAAAAGCATTCCACCATTCATAGCCTGCATCACATTTGCTGATGCTGCCACTTGAGATGACTGAAAAGTGGTGCAATCTTGTTGCCCAGATGATGTTGCCTAAAAAAGAACCAGAAAACTTAATATGATGTAAAACTCTACATCATTCGTTTAACATTTGAAAAGGGAAAGAGATCAAAGAAAACCTCAATCGCATTTTCTATATGACTGTTTGATTCTGTAACAGATAAGTTTTTCTCCATCACAAGGCAATTGAGACCTCTATCCTCAGATGGGTATCTAGTTTGGGCTTGCGGAATACAGTTGAACATCTCATAACCAGCATCAAAATTCAGTGTAACGTCACCCAAGTCAACATTATCACATAAATCTTCGCCTTCATTAAGTCCAAGATTGTTCAAATTGGAGGCATCCTACAGTTTTTAAAACAAATTCAAAGCAAACCCCATGATTTCTAATCGGAAACATGAACCAAAACACTAAATACAATACCTCAGTTAGGTTTGATCCTTCAGGGAAGAAAGGGTTTGGATCTTTATCAGCAGGTGTCAAGTAGGTTAAATGTGGTGGGATCACTGAAGATGGATCAGTAATCCAAGACTCAAACTTCAGTGATGATGCTAATTCGTTAAGTCTAGAAGCCACTAATCCCATTTGTCCATCGTTATTTCCATTACCTACAAGATTCTCGTTGACATTCAAATTGGTCAATGGACGGAACTGATCAATGTTGATATCCGGACCTCCATCACAAACCTTAGATAGAATCTTTAAAAACTCTTCATTTGAAGGACACCCAGTATAGGAATTCAGTTCCTCAAGGCTATGAGCTTGCCCTGATGAACATCCATTCTCATTTAAATCACAAGCTTGACACACAAACGTTTTATCGAACACATAGCGGGCAACCGCTGGCTGTGAGTTACACTTATCACAGAGGATGGAACGAGGGTGTCTGCGTGATAACGAATTTGCAGAGTGGACACGGTTATCACATTGGAAGCATAACTTTGCAGAATCGGATTTACAGTACACCACTGCCCTCACTACCCTACATAGATCACATAAAGCCTCCATAATAAACCAAAAATCTCTGGGTTTCTTGATTTTTTTTCCTGATTAAAATACTTGAATAATAATCGGTAGAAATTCAGCCTATGATTTATGATCTTCAAACACCAAAGCCACTTGTCTGTCTTGTATCGTTTATCAAACCAAAAATCTCGAAAAAGAAAAGAAAAATCAGCATCAAATGCCACAAGAACTTGTAGATCTTGAACAGATAAAGAAATTAGAACTTACAACTGATGTTCTGGATCAAAAATGGAGCCGAATTTCCACCGATTATTTGATAAATAACACTCGAGTAATGATGAAAAGAATTAACCATCTCTAAATAGATCTTCCATGAAAAAGAATTAAATCAAAAGGGTTCGATTATCATCATAAAATGGGTTCACTTTGTTGTGATCGTAAATCATTTGGTTTTCTATATGAAGAAAAATCAACACAAGAGATTGAGATTTTGATTTTGATTGACATTGAAATGGAAGAAGGTATGAGAGTGTGGTGTGTTCATATTTATTCACAAAACCACCGAGTTAATGGGTAATTGACGCGTGGACAATGTGGGCTCGATAGAGTGACATGGCATTTGAAGAGATCTGCCCTTTTACTCGCTCTTTTATTAGTGACGTCATGCGTAAATAAGGATGATATATAAGGGCATTTCTGTCTGATGAAAAAATGAGCCACAACTGAACTGCCACGTCATCCCATAAATGCGCAGAGGAAAAGTGTTCTGTTGTAGTTATCAAACACATTTTACTTAACGCGTATTTTTTTTAAATAAATGTTTATAACGAAAATAATATATATTTAATATATTATAAAGTAATTGATTAATATATGCATATTATACATTAGACCAAGTTCTGATCAGTTATATCTAAAATTATATTACAGTTTCAACTGATTTTAATTTCTTATTTGTATGAACCTTCAACTTTTTTTTTTGAATTTATTAATCTGTTTTATATGTTCTCATTTTGATTTTATTTCGTTTAAACACAAACGCTTAGCTATATTGTAAAATAATGTACCAAAGTGTTGACATCATAATTTTATCTCCATCTGATGTGAAGGCACAAAGAAAACACAGAGATCGAGAAAACAAAGAAAGAGTTAAGAATTCTTTCACTAACACCATTATGCCGGGATGTAGTGACTGTTGAGGAACTGTGCGATACACATTTGTCTTCAAAGAAAGTTCTCAAGGTACTATGTTTAAATTTAGTACCATGATCACTTCTGATACCTCTTAAGAAATGGGTTTGCGCTTGAATTTCAGTGATGAGGTTTTTCGAGGGAAGTAGGGATCTTATTGACTAAAAGTGATACTACATGCATCTCATCTCTCTAAGTATTTCATTCTTACTCGCTTTCGCACAAATGACTTGGGGGCGCAAAAGGGGCACAAAATAATTTCTTGGGTATTTTAGTTACAAGAAGTAAAAAAAACCTGTATATTCAAATCTGGAAAAAAAATATGACCTTGCCCAGTTGCCCTATCAACCCAGACAAGAAAATTGAATCAAATTCTTGTAGCATGCCAATGACTCCCAGCATACGCCTTACAAGAGACGGGGACTATTCGGAGGTCATGAAGGATTCTTGGGAATATCTTACGATAAAAGAGGTATATCTTGGTGAAACAAATGATGTTATCTTACGGTCAGCATGGCCAATTAGTTGTATGCCATCTTCGATAGTTCATCATTAGGAATCTTTGAAACAAATTCTGTGTTAATCTTGAACGGAGCATCAGCCATGGTATTGTATACGCAAATCATGGACATAGCCATGTAAATGGATTTTGCTTATGTTCCTGAACTTTATCTATCTCGATGAAAATCATCCATAAACTTCCTCTATAACAACATCAGGTTTACTAAATTGCCTAAAATGTCTAAGAATCCTAATAAAATGTTATATAGGACATAAGTTTATATGATTAAACCAAAAAGCATCATATCTAAAAGTGTTATAATAGGTTTATATAACGTTTTTGAACATTTTAACAAGTTTATTACGACACTTTTAAAAATGAAGTGTCGTATTAATTATTTTATACGACAATGTTTGAAAAAGTATCCTATAAACAAAAACGTCCTACAAAAAGATGAGTTTATATGATATTTCTCAAAATTGTCCTATAAAAGATGAGTTTATTTTTTTTATATTGTTATTGAAGATTTGTTGTTGTAGAAGAAGAAATATGGATGATCATTTTCATCTTTACAGTAGGCATGGCAACGGGGCGGGGATGTGGCGGGTTTTGTAATCCCCGGCCCCGGCCCCGGCCCCGGTTTGTAATACCGTCCCCCGGCCCCGACCCCGGTTTGTAATACCGTCCCCCCGGCCCCGGTCCCCGGCGGGTACGGGGATTATCATCTCGTCCCCGGTCAAATTCTAGCAATCCCCGGTCAAAACCCGGTAAACCCCGGTCAATCCCCGGTAAAACGTATGCTTTAGTTTGATTATACCGGGGATCCCCGTCCCCGACTCTGGCCCCGTTTTGAGTAACATTCCTCGTCCCCGGTCCCGCCCTCGGTTTGAGTCTACCGGGGATCCCCGTCCCCGGCCCCGGGACCTGTTTTAGCGGGGAATCCTCGTCCCCGTTCGGGTCGGGTGAACCGGGTTCCCCACCGAGTCGGGGCAAATCACCATCCCTACTTTACAGTAATCATCATTATCTTTCCCAAAGAAATATGTGTTCACAAATATGGAGAAATATGTGCATAGGAACACCGAGTAAACTTAGTCTACCAATGAATCATCAACTCTGTGTGCATAATATGTGTTCACAAATATGAAGAACTATGTGTGCATAGTATGTGTTCACATATACGGAGATGTGGTTATAATATAGGTTCAAAATAATATTTGTAAAAACGCGTTCATAAATACTGAATCTGCATAATGTGTTCTTTTGTTCATAAAAACTTATTCATATAATGAATTTAGGCACATGTTCATGAACCATGAATGCATATGAATCATGAACACTTGTTCACACATGAACAATTCCCATAAATATGGAATACTTGTTTACACATGAACCATGAACCAAAAAAGGTCGTAGAAGAATCAGGTGTTGGGGATCTTGCGGTTGGTTTCGATCCGATGACGAGAGCAATTACCAGACAGTTACATTGTCATTGTTGGGCAGTTACAAAACATTTCATTGTCATTAGTGGGTAGTTAATTTTTTTTCTTCTAAAATACCACTCGTAAATATTGTTCGCTTGTGTTATCTTGTCTACGTGTGCAATTATTTACATTTCTATACTATCTTATAAAGCAAATTTAGCAAAAGTCTTAAAGTCTTAAAATATTAAATTACCAAGATACCCTTATCTATACTATCTCACTTTTTCACTCACTTCTCTCCTCACATACACTCACCCCCTCACATACACTCACCCTCTCACATTAAACCAATTTTTTTAAAATTATAATTTCAAATTTACATTTTATACCCCTATAATTAGTTAATTAATTTACTTTACGTCCTTTACTTTTAAATGTTTCATTTTAAACCTTTATCAAATTAACATACATAATCAATTAAAACATGTTTAAAAAAAATACATTTTTATTTTAACAAGTTACGCCATTAATATCGTCTCGTTAATACCTTCGAAATGAGTCAAATATTGAATAGTTTTTTACTTAATTATATTATTATATATTATATATACTGTGAAAAAATATTTTTAATATTTACGATTTATACTTTTATAGTTATTTATTTATATACTATATATTTGGGATTAGGCTGTTCAAATTGCACTGTATAATATGTTCTAAATTGATATGTTCTTAAGTTTTTTTGAAATATATATATACATGTATTAATTCAACCTTAATCTGAGTTTTTGGACAAAAAAGAGGGTAAGCAGTTGAAATTTCATTCTAAAATCCATCTTTTTTTGTTTTTTCATGGCTTATGATCTGTCAAATTTATAGTTTTCTTTATTGGTTTTGAGTGTTTATCTTAAAACTCAAGTTTCTTGGTTCTTTGCTCTTGGTGTAAATCGAACACATTTGTGAAGTCGTTTAAATATGTTGGATTTTAAATATATTGGATTTTAAACTGTCATAATTTTTTTTCATCGATAGTATGTGATTGGAACCACAACTCTTATTTATTCAAATTGTATTAATATGTAAAGACTAAGTGTAACCTATATCATCGTTAAATCTTATCTTATAAAACCAGTGGAACTTCAAAATCGTTAAAATTCATGGCTCCCGCCGCATTGCACGGGTACACAACTAGTATGTCATGAATAATCTCAGCCACAAATTTCAAAGATCAATGGATAAGATTGGTTCACAAAATTAACACCATATACATACATATATATATATATAATGGGCAGTTAAAATATTTTCCAAAATACCCCTCGTAAATATTTTTCACTTATGTTATCTTATCTACGTGTGCAATTATTTACATTTTATGTCATGAATGATTTCAGCCACAAATTTCAAAGATCAATGGATAAGATTGGTTCATAAAGTTAACACCATATATTGGGTTAACAAATGAACCCACCATATATATATATACACACACACACACATACATAGGGAAATGTTCAAATGAGAATACCTTCATTTTATAAGAATGCGAGAACCACATTTTACTATAGACAATCATATGTGATACTATACTCCATCACATATGATAAAAATGTGATACTAAACCAAAGACGCATACCACTTTTGGTGTGATCTAGGTTGCGAGCAAAGTCTCCCTAACACCACTAAGCCCCCTCACGTGTATAATTACATGTGATATTATAATCCATCACATGTGATACTAAATCTTAGACGCATACGACCTTTGGTGTGACCTAAGTCGCAGAGGACGTCGTCCGCACACCACCAAGTCCCCTCACGTGTATTATCACATGTGATAAAGGTGTTCTCATAAAATGGATGTGTTCTCATTTAAACCTCCACCTATGTGTGTGTGTGAAAGAACATGTGAAAAGGAGAGTTAAGATGAAAAGTGTAAGAAGGGATCCAGACCCTTGATCACCTATAATCTCAAACCCACCAACGAATCACACTTGATTTAACGGGGATTGTTTCGGTGCATCTCATCCTAATGTGCATCCAAGGGTGGAGATCCCTTATTATGCTTCTCGCATTGACTTTCCTTCTCACCAGAACCCAACCCTATATATACACATACACACTCATGTTAATGTACATTGTTACATGAACCCTTCCCTCCCCTCCCTTTCCTTCTCTGGCGAATCCATCAAATTAACCCACAAAAAAGCAAATGAAACCTCATACTCTCACCAATGCAACTCCCTCTCTTTATACCACTTCTCTGGCTCTATAATTCTTTCCAAGGATCCCCCAAAACTCTATGCAAAACCCATCAGCATAGCATCGCCTCCAACCCCTCTTCACCACACACACACACACTCTCTCTCTCTCTCTCTCTCTCTCTCTCTCTCTCTCTTTCTCTTTCTCCTACCTATGACACACACCTCCATTTCAATTTGTTTTTCAATAAAGAGGGTATTATTTTGATTTTAAACATAAGAGGGGAATATGAATCTTGATAAAGAAGGTTCTTATTTTAACATCCCATATGCTTTGCTTTTTGTTTGGAGGAGAGTTGTTGATGGACATTTTAGCTATAGATCAACGATGTTTTTGAGTTTGAATCTCAATGGTGTCAAGACAATAGTGGTTTGGAGTAGGATGGGTGGTGAACTAAGGATTGATATAGTAATAGACATTTTTATTTGGTTTAATTGAGATGGAGGCAGGTGTTTTAGGTAGGAGAGAGAGAAATAGCAGGGACAGACAAGAACCCTGGATTTTTTTCAAATTGTGGCACCATTTGACTATAAGAAACAAATACATGGATATATTTTACAAAACCATAATTGGTCTATTGGTTAATTTGTTTTTTCATATGTGAGGTCATATGTACAAGTCTTTTATTTCCATCCTTTTTTTTTCCAGAAACATGATAAATTTGAAATTAAAAGTAAAAACTAAGAACATGTATTGACGTGATTCGAACTTGAGTCTAGGTGGAAGAAAAGTTTTGCAAACCAACTGTTGGTCCCGTAAGGGTCTACAAGAAGAGAAACAGTTTGTAGAAGGGGGGGTGAATACAAACACAGTATTTTCAAATTTAAAATATATATTGATAGAGAAAATCAAATACATATTTTACAAGATTGTTTGCGGAAAGATAAGGTAATAAAAATCTATCTAAACAATCTTTAGTTACACACAAAGCTTTAGCAATTATAAGAAAAGAAGTTGCTAAAAGAAAGATCATTTACTTAAGCTAGAAGATGCTTGAAGTAAGAATTAGGTTAGAGAGAGAGATGTGCTCTCTCTGCATGGAGAAGAAACACTTCTATTTATAAGTACATTAAATGTCCATTTAATGCAATATGATAGGTATAGAGTGTGTGCCAAGCCTTAAGAGGAAGGCTTGTCCTTTGCTACAGTGAATAGTACATAAACACTATTTCTGAGCAGACATCCTTACCTAAAGTTGGTGGACAAAGAGTCGACTAGTTGGCTCCGTACCGTACTAACTTTCATAAGGGTAAGGGTTTTGTCCTTTTGTGTGCATAAGGACAAGACAACAACAATCGTGCTAAGCAAGCTTCCTTTGATCGCTGAATGCTGGAATGACCTGAAGGTCTCATCATCATTCGCTGAAGCTTGAGCAGTCTTCACACATGTGTAGACAGACTTGTAATCACTGAATACCGCTTCAGATCACGTACTTGCCGGTCTCTAATCTTTAGTTTTAGTCTTCGACGTTTGCTGAAGGTTCTTTGGTGTGAGTGTTATCTTCTTGAAGTATTGATGTCTCTGAAGATTTACAAAACAAGTTCTTCAGCGATCACTGAACAGACTCAGTGAAGATCGCTGGAACTGAAAATACAGAAATATAAATACAACATATAGGTGAAAATGGATTATCATCAAATCACTGAGAGAGATGATCAACACCAACTCTACCAAGGAAAACTTGTGTCCTCATTATAGTTTCAAAATATATATGGTGACACACAACAAATTAATACAGTGGCACTTTCATGTTCATACTACGACGGATGAACAATACAGTGGCACAAGCCACCGTATGCTCTACATTTGATCCGTCCATGAGAAATAGTGGCATTGAAGAGGGGTTGAAGTTTGAAGAGAATGATGGTTGGTGGTGGGGGTATACTGGGAGATGGTAACCGACGTGGGGAAGGAGGGGATGCCGACAAGATGAAGAAAGGGGTTCACGTAGAAAATATATGATTTGGAAATATACGAGACAAATCATATGGAAACCGTCTAAAAGTTAAAAACTATAAAACTAGTTTCTATGTGTTGTTTATGAAACAACACATGTGAACATGCATTGTTCATATATTGTTATTTCATAAATGAAACGTCAAAGGAAACGTTTTGTGTGTGAAAGAAAACATAAAAATACATTTATACATGAAACACATAGTCATACTAACACACACGAAAAAAACGTGTGAAACAATATAAATAACAACTTAAAATAAAACTCATTCGATGGTTTTGGTTGATTTTCATAGGTTTGATTTTCGCATATGTTGTTTCATCTATCTATACTATCTTATAAACCAGATTTACCAAAAGTCTTGAAAACAATTTTTAATGCACAAAGTACTATACATTTATGCACAAAGTCTTAAAAACAACTCATAATGCATTAAGTATTATTACTTTATGCATTCAGTCTTAAAATCTACAATTAAAATAACATATAGTGCAAGTTACCAATGCACATTATTACCTTTTTTTTCATGTTCCCATGATACTTTTGACACTTTTCACTTATGTCTTCACTCTCTCATACCTCTATGTCTTCTCCCCATCCCCCAATGTGAGATTCAAACTGATATTCACCATGAGTTATTAAAAGTTTTCTCATTCAATTGTTCTAAAACTCTCGGTCTCGCTCTCCATCTCTTGATTCTTTGCTTTTGGTGTAAATCGAACACATTTGTGAAGTCGTTTAAATATGTTGGATTTTAAATATATTGGATTTTAAACCTTCATACAATTTTTTCCATCGATAGTCTGTAATTAGAACCATAACTCTTATTTATTCAAATTGTATTAATATATAATAACCAAGTGTAACTTATATCGTCGTTAAATCTTCCATAAAAAAACCAATGAAATTTCAAAATCGTTAAAATTCATGGCTCTTGCCGCATTCCGCATAGAAACAACCAGTAAAACAATAAATGAAATTGGTTTTAACAATTTCTAACTTTTGGACGACTTCTATATGATTTGCAGTCTATATATAAAATATAAAATAATATAATATGAATTTTTAGTAGGAAAAAGACAAAAAAAAAGGGTGTGAAAACCAAAATAGGAGGGGATCCAATGAGTAATTAATTGAGTATAAAAAATACAACTTAAGGGTCGTTTGCTTAACATTACTCGATAAGTACTTAAAATTCAACGCTATCATTTATTTATCGGATAAAACCTTAGTCAACAAAAACGACATCGTATGCAACAATTTATCCGGTAAGCGCTAGTCGTGGTAAAAGTCGTTGCCTTATATACCGAGTAAGACTCTTGATCCTCGCCTTACTCTTATCGGATAAGATTCTTGGTTCTTGTCATATCATTCTATAAGTTAATATGACTTGATAAACACCTACCTGAATAAGCATTTAGTAAACGTTTGTTATTTTTTATTTTGGGATTAAATGTATTGAAAAACTATAAACCATAGGGACCAGATCTGTAATTTAATATGAAGAAAATAGAGGTGCATTAAACCCCTTTCGCTGAAAAAAACAAACAAACATATGATACGAATTTAAGAGCCCTACTTTGATCGATCAACCCTTTCTCCACGCCAAGATCTGCCTGCTACTCTCTCTCTCTCTCCACTTCAAGAACTCCTTCTCTCTCTAGAATGATACACAAACCGATGAAAGTTTGATCAATTGCACGATATTCTTCTTTAGGGTTAGCGTTATAAACTACTGATTACACATATAGCCATGGATGATTACCTGAAGGATGATATTTCACAGCTGATCAAGAGAATTGGGGCTTTTCTATCCTCCAGGATTTCCGAATTATTAAATACCCAGGTTCTAATTCATTTCTATTTTTAAGTTTCTTGTTATTTGAGTTTTTCGAATTTCTAGCTTTTTCCTGATTGCAATTTTTGAATTGATGTTTGTAAAGAAAATCGCAATTGGAGAGGTTGATCATTTAGGTTATGCACTTTGATCAGGAGAAATATTAGCTGTATAATATGGGCTGTCCCAATTCCCATGAGCATGTGGTTCCATGGTATAACATTGTTATGCACACGGTACAAACCATGAACAAAGACATTTGACATTAAGATCCCAACACAGGTTGACTTCTAGTGAGCACCACCTCAGGTCATACCTGTCCAATCATAAGTCCTATTATAGCTATTTGGTGTATTGTATCATAGGATACAAAATGCTAGAAACTAGAAAGTATATATCCCTCGCACAAAAATTATAATGTTTAGCTTGGGTTAGTGTTAGATCATTTGTCTTGTACCTAAAATAGGGTGAAACCAAGACACAAAAAAAGAATTTTGTGGTATGATAGCTGTTTTAAATAGGAAACTTTCAAGGAATGTTTCATGTTTATGGAGCTAGGTGATTACTAGATAAGGAAATTCAACTTGTGTGTTTGTAACTGGATCCCTTTAGAACTTGGCAATTAATCAATGGCAAGACGAGTGGAATACTAGGATGTTTGATCTCTGAGAAAGTCCTTTTGTTGCACCTCAATGACCTTCAAATTCTTTTCCTCTCAAATAAAGATTTAAAGAAAAGTTTTAACATGCTTAATGGCACCGATCTTTCATTACAAACATTTGGTAAGTTAGTAATTTCTAACTGAAGATCAAGAATTTTCCGTAATGTCATTCATCATGGCTGTGGTCAATGTCATCAACATCATTGCCATGGACATCTTCTAGCATTACCCTATTGTCATGCACTCATGACCAATTGTTAAGTTGCTCAATCAAAATTTATCGTATTCGTGATACCATTTGTTTTCAGAGCTAGTGTGAAATTTTTTGGGAATCATATTTACATGCTTGGAATTTATCGTACAAAGGACATGATTTGGAAAATAATCAAGAACAAACAATTTTATCAGGGTGAAAATATCATGGTTTCTTTGTAGTTCACCATAGAAACACTACATCACACCTACGATAATATATGGCATCAACCTTGGGGGATTGAATTCCTCAATATTTCACAGCATATATTAATGAGGCGTTGGATATTTCATATGTTTGTATGGGAATGAAACCCTGATTAGACTTTATGAACAATAAACTAATAAAATATAAAAGAAAAAAACCTCAAAGGCGACAGCAGTACTCTATTAGGCTTCTTGGCTTTGGGAGTTGGGTGCCTTTACAATATTTCTCTTTCCTTCTGCAAAGATGCTATTTCATGACCCGTACCTGTTGACTCACTAGGATTGAAGAACTAATAGGGACTAGAGTAATTGACTAAACTACCTTAAATCCTCAATAATAACCGTCATCCTTAACTACATTGAACCCTAGGCAAGTGAATACTAAGAAATTTTGGATAACTTTTAAGGGAGGTTCTTTGATGCCCTAGGCTTGTGTAAGTTTTCATAATATAGCAAATCAAGTATGAGATATGAACTAAATGAACTTCAATTCTAAAGTTCGTGCTTCCCAACCTTCAAAGATTCTTATCATTATCAATATCGTTATCATCTTGTAAGTTGTAAATTGCACAACAATTGTCTTTAGAGTGTTCAAAAGGAGGAAAGAAATTTATTAGGTAAAGTACATGTGTACCGCCATGTAGGTTAGCCTTCAAGGATTGGTTTTGTTTTTCATCATCCAGTTTCGTTGAACTGTGGCTCTTTATCATGCTCTAATGTAAAGAATTTTTTCGTTATCCCTTAGTATTGCATGCTACTATAGCTATTGATTCAAGGATAGATCGGGAATCATTATACTAATTTCTTGAATCTTGAATGTGAACAAACTTGTATTGTAGATCATTTAACCTTTTATCAAAAACTTTCTATAATATGCATAATGTAGACCACAAAAAGGGCATCTAGTGATGCATGGACCAAAATATATAATATTTATCATGAGAAACTTTCTCGTCCCTTTAATTGTTCATTACAACTTCAATCTCACCAATCAAAACCTCTATTTTATGAGGCTACAATAAGTTCAAGGTCAATAAACTATAACCAAAGACCCACTAAAACAACAGTAATAAGGTGAGAAATCTTGGATGAAGTTTATTGAATCATATAATATGACTTTCTTACCTGATACAAGGGATTTACCACAGGTATAGCAAATCAGAAATGTTTGTAATTTGCTGATGACATTCTGGTTGATTCGTGAGGTTCCAATTGCAAATCATATGATTTTGACAATTACTTACTACCCTTTACAAATTAATATGATATTCCAAACTGATATGTTGCATCGTTAGACAACATTAAAAACATATTATTATCATGGGTCAAATGGGTATAAAGATTACCCACAATCCAAGTTACGTATTATGTATTTATGTGTTACAACCTTTTCCCACCTCTACATCATATCCACCCCACCTTAGTCCCCCCCACCCTGCTTATATCAGACCACCCCCTACCCACCTGGATTCTGTCCCTATCCCGTTTAAATTCCATTAATTTTCACCATTGTGTTATATCATATATTTTTTTTTCATTGGACATGGAATATGATATTTACACATTGGCAGATATTATCTGAAATATTTTAAGCAATTATTTCTTTTCAAAATTTGCATATTTGACATCAGTGTCAAATACATTATTTATCAAACATAAAAAAGTAATGAAAATTGTAATGGTTGTAGATTAAACTATTTCTCATATTAAAATGAAATAATGCTATTATGATTATAATATATTTTGCTTCAAGCCAGAAATTACATAATTTGATAATTATAAACAGAAATTTGAACTTTGTACAAGTATCCTTTAATTCTAGAAAAGATCTTATAAGAAAATTATAAACTAAAAAGTATCTTTAAGTTGAGAATGATTCTGATGTGTTCATGATGTTTTAAATTTTCAGTTGTTACTTATAACAAAATATTGCAATACCTTGGTCCAATATGTTTGCTACAACTTTATTTGTGTTAAAGCTATATTTGTACTTTTTCTAAAATCAATAAATGGAAAAAGGTAGAAAGAGGATTTTTGCATCCAACTAGTCAACCCAACCCATTTGAATTTCAACCCACTCTAAAAATAGCGGCCATTTGACTATTGTATGTTTGACCTGTTATCCAATCCATCCTGACCCTAGCCACCTCTATTATGCATGGTCTTTGTCAACTGACGCTTTACGAAGGATAATTTGCTGCTACTGCACATTTTCTTAATGTGTGATCAGAACTCATCATGATTCTTATTAAATCGATAAAATTTTATATAATAAAAATTGGTTGCAGGATTTACGGTCTGTTTGGGCTTTAGCTGCACTTGTTGTTACTGTAATCTTTACTTGGAGATTATTCTGGGCTCCTACTGGACCTCAAAGAAGACAACCTAAACGTCAAGCTCCCACACCAAGTAGTAGTGCTGGAGTCAGTAGTCAACCAAATGCAAATCTCTTACCTTCCCACTTTGGTTCATCTATTGAAGATTCAACACAAGCTATTAGCAATGAGTTCTCTCAGCATGTAAAGGTGGATGGAAATTTTTTAACAACATAAATTTGAATTGGTTTTTTTTACTTATAAATTGTTCTGCTCATTGCTGCAGCCTACTCTGGGACAGATAGTCAGACAAAGATTAAGTGATGGAAGGAAGGTATCATATATATGCATATAGAATAACCTTCATATTTATTTTATTTGTAGTTATTTTCTTGTATTTAGATGGGCTCTAGATTTCAAAATTTACTTAATATAATAACTTTAACCAATAAATGAGTTATGATAGAACCATTAATTTAACCAGCATTATACTTTGTTGCATCTGTTTCTGAAAGAATAAATCTAAAAGTATTGGTAGCATACGTCATTGGTGTACAACATGAGGCATTATCATTATTAATATATTCTATTTGGTATTGAGCAAATACTTAAAGTCAGGATGTAGGTATCAATATTTTTTTATTTCCATTGAAAATTGGAAGTAACAATACTGATCAATTGTTGGAAATGTCATTGAGGTTCCTAAATATTCCATAACATAAAACCTAAAGAAAATAGAAGGTCGTTGCATATGGTGAATTTTCATCATCAGTGAATGGCTAATTGTCGGCCAGGATTTTTTTAATAAATGGAAAGAAGTTATGTTTTCTTATATAGTATATAATTTAAGATGGTTGCACCCTTTTCTGTTATCATATCGTTGTTTATATCCTAGTTGCATAGCTTTATTATCTAAAACATGGTCATCATATGTAATTTATTTATGAGACACTTCCAACAAAATTAACTTAAGTCACCTTTACCTGAAACCAGTGATTCTCGGATCCCTTTTTCTGGTGCTTAGAGTTCTCTCAATCATGTAACAGTTTTCATATTTTTTTGATTTTGGTGAAGGTGACTTGCCGGTTGCTTGGCATTATACTCGAGGAAAGTATTCCAGAGGAGCTTCAGGTTCCTATAACTATTTTTTTCTACACATATTGCTATCTGAAGATCATCCACTTGACTGTGCTTTCATTGTGTTTGGTAGATTCGAGCAACTGTGAGATCCTCCGTTCTGGAAGTTCTGGTGGAGATGACAAAATTTTGTGACCTTTATCTCATGGAAACTGTTCTGGATGATGAAAGCGAAGTATGTTTAAGCTTATTCTTTTCTCCAATTTTCTTCATACACCAACTAGTATGGTTGCTTCTTTCCTATACGCATTGTTCTCTTCTGTTCAGTAAGTATAATCTTGTAGGGTCAATGTTACAAGGCTTGTTTAATGTTTTATGATGGAGGAAATAGAAGGAAAAATCTGACAACTTTTAACTAGAATCGTTTCCTCTCCAGCTAATGATTGGAACAAGTTTTTCTGTATTTATGAAAATATGGAAAGCCATGCCCAAGAGGGGTGAAACTTTTGTTGTCGGTTGATAATAGATGTGGAGTTTGAACTTGAAACCTGTAGGTTATTCTAAGCAAGTGGAATTTGTTTCAACGCACATCAAAAGGTCTTATTTTCCAGTTAACTTCACATATCATGTGTGCTTTTTAAGCGTTTGAATCAAACTTCAACTGCTATAGATGCGGTGGATGCTTATCTATAGCAGTATGTGTTTGTAGTGTATGCAGATATAAAGAAGCTCCTATTGCAGCCTTTATTCTCATCTCGTGAGAGAATTTCCTTTTCTTTGATGCATACTCACTATAAGCCATTATATCTGTATTTTCTCATGAATTATCGTGTTTGCAGAAAAGGGTTTTAGCGGCATTGGAAAATGCTGGTATTTTCACGTCCGGTGGGTTGGTTAAAGACAAGGTAATAACCATATAATGACTAAAGTAGGGTGTTTCAGTACCATGGTTACATGTTGCTATATTAGGTCAATTTACTCTATTGTTTCTATAACAAGTACTGTTTCCGTACTTTCCCTGTTAAGAAAAAGAATTATTTAGGAAATCCAATTATCATGATCAATTGGTAGATATAGGGAGATGATCTTTTTGAACATGAACAGTCATTATATGGATTTTAGCACCCTTTGCCATAAAGATTTCAACAAGTTCTTTTATGGAAAGTTTAGATATCTGCCCATTATTATGATGGAAAAGTTGATCTTATTGATTTGGATCTACAAGTTTATTGTTGCCATTGTTAAAAAGTATTTTAGACATTTGACAAGTAGTTGATCAGTTCTCTAAAACTATGCGTTCAGCCAGAAAAGGAAACGGTTGCGTATCTATTTGTGATGCTATTTATATATCTGTATATTTGATATGCAATTGCAGGTACTGTTTTGTAGCACAGAGAATGGACGAACTTCTTTTGTTCGGCAATTGGAGCCAGATTGGCATATAGACTCGAATCCTGAAATTAATTCTCAGTTGGCGGTACATATACGCCTTTTGTTCATTTCTGTTATTATTTTGAAATTGAGAAATATTAAGCTTGATAACATGGGTTTGTTTTTGTTGATGGCAGAGGTTCATCAAATGTCAGCTTCACATTTCACCCCTTAGACCCGAGCAAATGGCGTCTAACGTGTTCAGTTCTTCGTCGTTAGAACAATTCTTTGGTGTTTGAATATGTACGTTTTTCAGTCGTCGTTAGTTTTTCATTCCAGCACTGTATAATAACACAATACAGTTCTACTGTAGATGAGGGATGGATGATTGATTTGTTTGTGCAGTAATTTTGGTTATCATTTCTCATAAACCCAAAGTAGTAGTAATCCATGTTTGGAGTGATGGAGTCACTTCTTGTTCACTTGTTCCTATTCATGACGGATTGATAGTGGCTTAATAATATAAAAAGTAGCTTAAAATCAGTAAGCTTTTAAGAAGCTTTATTTAGAAAGACAAGTTTTTTTCTGAACCAACCACTCCCAATTATAAAACATGTTCCTTCCATTTATGAAAACACTTTCATAATCCATACAGATAAATTAATCTACAAAGACGGTTAAATGTAATAGAAAACCGACCAAACAACCCTTAAAATTGAAATGATATGATGCTACCCACATGAATATGCTCTTGCATTTTTACAAAAATGTTTTTTAGAAAAGATATTGTTATTCTCGTCACAGGTTCTAAAGGTCAAAGTACTAGGAGGTTCCAAGTTCAAATTCAAGGAGAAATAAAAATTCCATTGTGGCCACGGAGGTTCAAATGCGGTGACTCTGGGCTATCTGTAAAGCAGGTGGTCGTCTTGGGATTAGTCGGCTCACGGGTTGGATATCCAGGTTAATAAAAAAAATAACTTTCAATAGACAGGTGATTATAAAGATAGAAAACTGGCATTCATATGCCTAAAAATTTAAATAAAACAATGACCATTCAGCAGGTTATAAAGATGACCTCAATCGACTGAACCTTTCGGCCTCATCAGTTCGACCCGAACTCGTCAAAACTCTGATGATGCTCGAGTAATGTTCTTCGGTTACTTCTACTTTATATCTTCGAGTTATCAACCGAAAGACTCTGCAAGCTTCATCTACGAATCCAGCCTGCTCACAAACACGCAAAACTGCTTTTAAAGTGAACTGGTTTGGCGAGAACCCCCCGGTTATCATCTGATCGAAAAGATTGATGGCTTCTTGATAACGAGAGTTGTATCCATAGGCCTCGATGATCGCGGTCCAAGTCATCGAACCCTTCACTGGAACCACTTTAAATGCCAATGCCGCCTTGCTGATTTCACCACAAACCGCGTAAAACTTCACGATTTCTGAAGAAACAAACGGAATCGACATTAAATCTTTCTTCAACACTTGCCCGTGAATTTCCTTACCCAGTTTCAACGCTTTAAGTTCACCGCAAACGCTCAACATTCTCGAAGTCGCTACTGAGTCCGGGCGGTGTTTCGACAGCACCATTGACCGAAAAACACCAAGTGTTTTATCCAAAAACCCGCATTCAATGTATGATTCGATCATCGCTGTATAACAAATGACGTTTTTTCGGTCCAGATTATCAAACAGTTTAATGGAATAACCGTGATAACCACATTTGGCATACATCATCATCAACGCGGTCGTTATAGATACTTGTTGAACGAAACTGTTCTTAACAGCAAAACAGTGGATTTCTTTGCCTTGTTTCAAAGCTTTAAGCTTTCCGCAAATGGGAATAATGGTGTTAATGGTGACAACATCAGGTTTAAACCGTTCTTGTTGCATCCAAACGATCGATCTCAAAGCCTGCTCGAGCCTGCCATTTGCAGCATATCCGGACATAAGTGCAGTCCAAGATACAGTATTCCTCTCTGTTGATCCATAAAAGACCTTTCTTCCCGAAATCATATCTCCACATTTGCAGTACATGTCGATCAAACCCGACTGAACGAACAATTGCTTCGAGTACTCCTTTGTCTTGATCACATAAGCATGAACCTCCTGACCAAGTTTTCTAGACGAAATTTCGCCAATCACAGGAAGGATTGTGGTTAGTATTACTGAATTTGGAGATATTCCTTCTTTTTGCATCCATTTTAGGTACTCCAGAGCTTCGAATCGAAGCCGATTGTGTGCAAAACCAGCAATCATTGCCCCCCACAAGACCACATCTCTTTGATCACCATCAATATCTTCGAAAACTAGACGGGCAAGCTTTGTTTTCCCACATTTGAAGTACATATCAATCAAACAAGTACTTATGATTGAATCATCAATCAACCCATTCTTGATTAACAGCCCATGAGTCTTCAAACCTTGATAAAGAGCAGAAGCACCACCCAAACTTTTGATCAAACAAGAAAATGTATAGACATTCAATTCAATCCCCAATTCCCGCATTTTTGAAAATGTGTTTAGAATGTCATGATGCTTCCTCCCACCCATAATCACATTGCCTCTAAGCAATGCGTTCCAAGGGTAGACACTTGATGTTGGCATTTCGTCGAACAGCTGCCGAGCATCTTCAACCGACCCACAAGATGTGTACATATTAACAAGCTTAGTTCGTAAAAACTCGTTATTTTCAAGCCCATTGATTCGAATGTGAGTGTGAATGACTTTGCCAACGGATAATGACTTCACTCGAACAACTGAAGCGATAAGCTCGGAGAATGTAGTTGGGTTTACAGGAACACCACGTTTGTCCAAGTAATCCAATATAGTGAGAGCCTCTTTGAGCTTGTTTTGCTGGGCGAATCTTTGAATATCTTTATAAATAGCATTAGGGTTCTTGGTGTGGAGTGGTATGGATGATGGGAATGCATCTTTTTCATCGAAATCTGGCGGTTTTCGGTGCTTTCTTCCTGTGGGTGTTTGAGATTGAGATTGAGATTGAGATTGAGATTGAGGAGAGAATGCTGTAGATTTGAATTTGAAAGTGGGGTGATTTTGGTTGCTCAGAGGATTCAGCGGGAAAAGGTGACGAACGTTCGTAAAAGAAGGCAAGGAGAAGTTGCAGAGGGCTTCCATTTTGGCTCATTCAAACATAGATTATCTGTCAGTATATAAAAGAAAAAAACTATAAAAAAACAAAGGTTAAAAGAGTAAATTACGTCAATGATTTTTAAACCATAAGGGTGGTGTCTGATTAGTTTGAGCTTGACTCTAAATGTCAAAAGTATTAGGAGGTCTTAGGTTCAAATCCAAGGAGAAATAAAAATTCCCTTGTGGCCACGAAGGTTCAAATGCGGTGACTCCGGACTATCTATAAACAGGTGGTCGTCCTGGGATTAGTCGGCTCGTATAGCGGGTTGGATATCCAGGTTAATAAAAAAAAACGTTAATCAAACATGTTCTTGGTTGTTAAAAGGAAACTCTTATCAGTCTCTTGTATCTAATTTGTTAAATAGACGGTGTCAATTAAATTGTTTGTTTTTTCAAACTTTTAGAGGCATTTATGTCTGGTCGTCATTTTGTCTTATAAGAGGTAAACCAACATTTTATTGTTCTCTAGACCCTTAGCAACAACATTTCTCAATCGATTAACCTTAAGGGTGCGTTTGGTATGCAGACTACATGGGACGATTCTCGTAACCTGGCCTCATACACCTTAACTGGGTCTTCTCTTTTTGATCAGGACCGGTCCGGATTGTCACTGTTTAAGCTCCGGACCGGTTTGGGTCCGGCCCGACCTGCTCTGGACCGGTTTTTGGCCATGTCTATCTGGCAGGAGATGATTATCCTTTTCTTGAAATTTCTTGTATCTATATATACATTGCTTTCATACCCATAAAGAAATGAGAAAATATAAACATTCTCATGGTATCAGATAATCTCCATGATTAAATTCCATCTTCTTCTTAAAGGATCTCTCTTCATCAATGGCGTCTCTTACCGAGGGCCTTCCTCACTCCGCTCACCACCCCTGGATGTATGGAATTGATAGCCTTTATACTGGATTTTCAGTTGAAAGCTAACTTCTCCCATACCAAAAGTTAGGGTATGGAGCCGCGTCGTTCGTTGGCGTGCTCTTGAGGGGCTCACTACTTCCCTCAAAAGCGAGCAAGCAAAACACCAGCTCTTGACTGGCCAGCCTTTTGTTTGGGGCCTTCTGAAGTACTTGTTCAACCAATGTCGTCTTGTCTTTCTTGGCAATACCAGCCGGACTTTATACCTTTAAAGTTTTATAAGAAAGGTTCAGTAGTACCATCGATGGCGGTGATTCCTCTTTCAACCCCTCCTCTTCATCTCTTCCCTTCACAACCTTAATCCACATGATGACCATTAAACTCTCCTCCTCCAACTACTTACTATGGAAGAGTCGAATTTCACCAATTCTCGAATCTCAAAAACTTCTGCAATATGTCGATGGTACCTGTTCTTTCGCACCAGCATCTACAGATCAACAAATACGTATGCTTCTCAATGCATCTCTCAGTAAAAAGGATACTATGTTATGTCAAGGGAACATCAAATTTTGGCCTTTCCTTTTCCCATGAACCATCATATCTCTTAACATATTCTAATGCAGATAGGGGAGGTTGCCCATACCCTTGACGCTTCACTTCTGGCTACTCCATCTTCCTCGGACCAAATCTCGTCACATGGAGCTCGAAGAAGCAGCAAATGGTGGCACAATCAAGTTGTGAATCTGAATATCTTGCCTTTGCGAATATTGCAACTGATGTTATTTGGGTCACACACTTACTCAAAGAACTCCAGTCACCTATATCACGACCACCAACTATGCTAAGTGATAATAAAAGTGTCCTTTTCATAAGTAGTAATCCTGTCTCTCACAGACGCGCTAAGCATATTGCTCTTGACTACCATTTTATCCGGGAAATGATTCAAGATGGAAAAATCATAACTCATTTTATAGGTTTACACAAGTCGATGAAAGACCATAAACACATGTAAAATTGTGCCTAAAAATTTCGGGGCCCCGTTTCCAAATCCCACATTTAACATGCCAAAGAATGACTCTGAAACAATGTTGGGAGTGCATTTCCCATTTTGGTCCCTAAACAAAGTGATAAAACCGCTCAAAATTCATATTTACTATGTTAATGAACGGCCCTAAATAAATAGAGTCATAACCAAAATCAAGGTAAAATTTAAGGGACAAGATCGGTAGAATACGAAATAGTGGAGGGACTATTCTTGCAATTTGTAGTCATTATTTCAATTGGTGTTTTGACCATTGGTACTGGAGGTTGAAGGAGGGTAGACACTCGCCTACCGTTGTCCTCACAATCTACAGTCGAGCCTTGAGAATCCAAAGAAGGCATTAGAGAAATCATTACTAATGGAGGTCGTTTGCCCCATAGATGCCCAATTCCCTCAGCAAATCTCTCTTCTCCTCGAACCACCTTCATCTCTTCAAGTTCAGGTAATCTCTTTCTCTTTGTAATTCCGATATGAGATTGTTATATGTGAACGTAATAACTTGCAGGAGTATTTTGATGACCTTATAACAAGTAAACAACGCCATGGGATTCAAGTCAAACCAACTAACGACCATGGAAAAGGTAATCTTCCTTTTGCTTTTGGTGGCAATCAAATAATTGTTTTTATTGTTTGTTAAAACGATTCAGGAGGAACCCATACAAATATTGTTTGATGTATATGTGGTATGGATGTTTGTCTTAAAATCTAATGCTATTAACAAGCAATGGGGTTTTTTTCATTCGTTTGCACACCACCTGTTTGATACGTTGCATGAGAGATATAAATTGTCATTTCTGTATTTATGTGTAGGCAGATGTTCTTCTCCCTTTCTACACATGGAGGAAAATTTCGTGGCTACCATCAATTTACCACCAAACTCACCACAACTCCAAATAATCCGAAAAACAGATGTGATGCAATGCATATTCCCTCATCTTGTAGTTACACTCTATTCTTAAAAAGAAGAAGAATGAAAGTTGGTGGTAATATTGGTTGTAGCCGAAGATTTACTTTATAAATGGATTGGGATGGTAACTAGTTTACTGTCAATTAGTCTTAAACTATTGGTATACTTTTCTTTCTCCTTACAATACTATTCAAGCTACTCCTTGATGCTCTAAAACTTTTCTTGTTAATTACCTGGAATGTAATGAGCATGACACTTGAAATTGAAAAACTTACAGGTGTTTATGTCGACCTAGACTTTGAAGAAGGGGATCTTGTTTTGAAGGACCAAATGCTTTTCGGCGTGCAACATTCTTCAAATAAGGTGGTTTAGTTTGAATATTCAACCCTGCTTGTTTGTTTCACTTTCTTTACTTGAACCATTTATGGTTTTTGAACGCTTCTCTTGCATCACTAATCCTTTCTCTTGGCTTTTATATTATTTTTCTTGCAGATTGATTGTCTTGTCTGTAGTTTCTGCTTCCGTTTTATTGGCTCAATCGAACTTCAAATTGGGAGGAAGCTCTATCTGCAGGGTTTAGGAAACCCGAAAGATTGTTTTGATTTGGCATCCTCAGATGGTTCTGACAAGGAAGATCAGCTAGAGTTTCAGCAGTGTTCTTCTACCAGTTCTAGAAATAAATTTCAGGTTCCTACTGAGCGTGTGGAATCATTAATGCAAGAGAAATTAGCATTGCCATACTCGATGAAGTTTCCATTGCCTTCAGTTAACATTTGCCCTGGTGGATGTAAAGAAGCTTACTACTGTAGGTGAGAATCCTTGTAGCTTTTCTTGGTAACGTGAATTTTTTCTTATTTTTTTCTCTTGATTGGTTATCCATCTTCATTTCTCTATTTCTTTGATGTTATCATTTGTTTTATTCAACCTACAAAGTGAAAGTCATTGAATTGTACAACCAAAGCTTTCTATTGGAGGAGAGGCAAGTGTAGGTGTAAGCTATTTCACTTCATTTTACTAAAGATGCCAAGTAACTGGAGAAAGTTAGATGATTTACACATAGATCAATGTGACAAGGGACATATCCATGACTATAAGTCTATAAGAAATCTCATTGATTTTGTCACAAGGCTAAAAGCACAACCGATTCCAGTCACCTCTAAATTAATACTGATAGTAAAATTCAAAATCACCAATTTTACTTGATGAAAATGTAAAATGCTCACCCTTGCAAAAATAAAAAAAAACCCCCATAATCTTCGACTCTAAGAAAGAAACAGTAACTCCTTTTCTCTCTCTTCCTTTCACAATAACTCAACTCCTAACCGTATTTGGTACTTAATTTCATTACTATCCCTTTTTTCATAATTCTTCAAGAGAAAATGAAAAAGATAGGACTTTAGTTGTGGTAGCAAAATGGTAAAAGGATGTAATCAACATTCAAATGTAAGTTCTAGCCATCAACTTGCCTTACCATGGAGAAATATATCTACTCTCTGGTTCTAGAAAATAAGATGCTAGAATCTTGGATGGTATAACCAAGGTTCAAAATGGCGTGAGGCGTGGGGTGGCAGCAAGGTCAAGCCTCAAGCTTTACACGCCACAGCGAGGACGTGGCGTTTTTCAAGGCGTGACATAAGGCGACCTATTTGTATGTCGTATATATAATTATAATTATATATATACATATGTGTTTTTCTGAATATTATTTAATTAGATAATGATATTAAAAAATTTACATTCATATTAGAAGAAGAAAAATCATATGAATTATTTTTATAAAAATAGTCTTTGATTAAATATTCAAAATAGAACTTTGAAGGGTAATTTCACAACTTCGTCTTAATCACGAGTCCATGACATGTATGAATTCGTGAAACCGTGAGTGATGTGATTATTTAAATCTATAAGTGCAAAAATATAAAGTTAAAAATGTAAAACCACAAAAGCTACGAAAAACTTAAAAGCTAATTTTTTTAAGAGTCCCTTGTAAAAAAACTCACAACGACGTCGTGCCATGGCGTGAGCCACGCCTTATTGTAATGATGGAGAGACAAGTCTTGCGCCATCCTTTTTGAACACTGGGTTGAACTCAAATCATGGTGAAAATGGCATTAAGGTTGTGTGTTTCTTTTCTAAGGGGATGTTTGGGTGGTTTTCCATGAAGTCCTGCATGGATAAAGTTGTTTGTGTAGATTAATCTGTCTGTATAGGTTGAAAATGCTTTTGTTTGGAAGGACTTTTTCATAGATGGAATTGAATCATCGTCTTCTACAACCCTTTATTTTACACCAAATTATAATCAAATGGAATCCATTTTAAATGGGAGGGGCAGGTTTGGAAAAAACTTGACTTTCTGCATAAAGCTCCCCCTAGAAGCTTATTGAATAAGCCACTTTATATATCATTAAGCCATTACCAAACAGTCACGTATAGCTGAGTAGCTGACCGAATAAGCTGCGAGTCCCGTTAAACTTATTAAGCTGTTAACAAACAGGCCCTAAATCATGCTTAACTTATAAAAGTTATTGATTTATGCTTTGATGTTAAATGCCCTCAGTCCTCTTAACTTTCGGAGACAATTTCCAAATGCAGAAAGTGGATGTTTTCAGATTAGCTGCTAAAACTGGGAACTTGGTTGGGTTTAGAGTTCATTTCATGACTATCACAGAAGATAATAGACAAAGCTGCAACCATACAATAACTTATAACTATGAAGAGTTCTATAAACTAGACATATAGAGACAGACATCATAGACATTTCGCTTCTCACCATTAATTGTCTACCTAGCGTCATTGAAAACTAGTGAAAAAAATTCAAATGGTGCTTTTATATGGGTTACTAACATCTCTTGGCGGTTGATACAATCCGAAGTTTGGAGAGTACAAGATGTTCAATTTGGGTACCCACAGTCCCAACAGAAGCTACCTACACTATAATGTTTAGATAATTGCTAGTGAAACATATTCAACGAACTAAAAAGAGCAAGTGAATAGAAGTTATTTACTATTGAGACCTGTTATCATGACGACAAAATTCTATGAAAATAGGTAAGTTGATATGTTTAACATGAATTAGTCAGAATTTATGTGTTTAACTACTTTGTACAAAAGAAACGAAAATTGATACATGCAAAAGAAACACAAAAGTACATTAACTCGATCTTTATGTATAAATTTCAGTAATTAGGATGATGTTTTGTAGGCACCTAGTATAATCATGTATGTGTTAACACCAGTAAACTAGTTTCGATGTAATTTACTCTTTTTGTAGATTCCTAATCATGACCTAACTCACAGTTTGTTTTGAAAAATTAAATTAAGCCTGTGCATTGGTGCATTTCATAGGAATCTGTTCTAATTGAAATACTTGGTACAACATCGATAGTCGCACCATCTCTGTAACTAGAAATCCTGTAGTTTGGATGGTTATCATCTACTTATCCTAATATCCTTCAATATAAGAGGGCTGGTAGGCAATGGTTCCAACATCCGAACTCCAGAACTTTTCTTCAAACCATCTAACAGTGCGTACCAGCTTTTATTACAGAATTTATTTGTCGGAAACATAGTTACAGAACTAAAAGTAGAATTCAAAATCTTCTCCATTCCATTGCCCCTAACCCCAAGATTGATACTTCAGTTAGTACTAGGTCTTTCATTGTGTTAAATATCACTTACATGACATATTTTCAATTATTTGTAGCAAATCTTGTGCACAGGCTGATTGGGATTTATGCCATTCTCTACTTTGTACCGGAGAGGAGTCAAAATCATTGTCCAAGAAGGCACTTTCAAGATTCATAGAACATGCTAATGGTAAGGCCCAAATTCAATAGTTATTTGCACACAAACTTTCCCCCATGTTTTCCTTTCCCCCCCCTCAATTTCTAAGTTTCTTTCTCTTGTCATCTTTCCCTGTCAGAGACAAATGATATTTTCCTTCTTGCTGCTAAGGTAAGTTCCTTCTAAAGGTCAACCTCATTTTTTTCTATAAGGAGTGTGTGTATATGTATATGTGTGTGCATATGTATGATCAGAAAAACCACTATGACAATCTAATTGCATATATGAATTTAAATTTCATATGACGAGGCATCAACATTAGTCAGAACTTATTTCTTCTGCAAGCTTTATCTTGTTGAGCATAAGAACTTGAGTGTCTCACAAGCTCTGAATAATATCAGAATGCATCTATTATACTCTGGTATGCTTGTTTAACATGATTGTGTTCCAAAAGATTAGTTTGGCTTAGCCAGCTCTAATACAAGAAACCAAGATAGAAATAAAGAAATTAAATTTTACAGCGTCATTCTGACCATTACCTGTAGTATCAGCATCTGGAACACACATAAAAAAATCTAGTTTTAGCACGAATAGGGTGTAAATGTGAAAGATCAAGGCTATACGACATGAATCACATCCCATGGGGATTAACTTATACAAAGGAAATATGGACACAGTGCATGTTGAATCTTGTCCCAGTCAATGTGAGTCACTTCAGTGATATTATCATTGATATATGATTGACAAAATATTTTTCTCCGTCTTCCATTTCCAGGCGATTTGCTGTACAATTTTGAAGTATAGGAAGTTGAAAGCAGCATGCAGCAAAGAGAAAGAGAAGAATTCTATTTCTAATGGTTTAAGCAACCACAATTTTGCTCTTCTTTTGAAGGCTTGGAAGCCTATATCAATGGGATACAAGAGGAGGTATATGAAAATTTTGAGCTCCAGCTCTTTTGATTTCCTACCCGTAACACCTCAACTGTTTTTACGATAAAAGTCTGTCACTGCTTTCCACGTGTATATGCAACTGTCTTGTCTAGCAGAAATAGACACCTCTTTAAACTAGTGTATTGACTGCTGCATGCCTTTTTACCTCATGCAAATATGCGATATCTTGTAGAAATCTCATTATATCACTACTTCTATTCAATCATTTTTTCCAATTCTTTTGAGAATTAGGATTATACTCACAATTAGGTTTCCTACCCAAAGCCACGGTAATTAATTGATAGTATGGGAGATCGTACTTTTTTGGAAAGGCATTAATATCATCGTTGAGAAACTATCTTCATTTGTGCTCTCTCTGTCTTCCTTGAATAAACTGTCTACCCTCCCTCCTATTCTACAGAGTAAAGTATGGATACAGGATCATTTGCACATAATATCACAACTTGTAAATGTTGCAGGTGCGTCAAAGCAACTTAAAAGTGAAGCATAGAGTCCCATGTAAATAACTTTCTTCTTTCTAATTGGTTTACTCAACCAATATCTAACGGTCCTACTTTGCATACAGCTGAATGCGCACTATATGCCAAACTCTCTACCAATAATTCTTTCTTAGACTCACTTGATTTTTGTGTTTCATTATGGAAAGGAAGCAGAGAAACCTGCAACATATGTCTCAAATTTAAGTACTTTTGGATTTATAGCAAATTTTTAATTAGTATAATGTGAAATTTCACTAGGAAAGGTATCATCCTAAGAAAGGTGTTCTGAAATGGTTCTTTGGATGAATGCTTATTTCATGTACTATTGTCTTTAGGTGGTGGGACTGCGTGGCTTTGCCAGATGATGTTGATACTTCTGATGAAACTGCATTTAGAATGCAAATAAGGCAGCTGGCATTTGAGGTCAGTCCTTGGCATAATATATTAATATACACACACATACATACAATACATATATATGCACATATATGTACAAGGGCATAATCAACAAGAACCACAAAAATGTTGAGAACCGTGAGAACCATTAATCATATGTTGTTTCACATTGTGAAACAATGCATGTGAATGTGTAGTGTTGTTTCACAATATGAAACAGAAAAATACTAAAAATAGACATAAAAAAACCACATCGTGAAAAAGGACTGTATTTTCACATGCATTAAAACTTGTTCTCACAGTTCACAACTTTTTTGTGGTTCACATTTGATTAGTTCCCTATATATATGGGATGAAATCGGTGGAGAACCTCAGAAAAGAAAGAACTGAAGAACCATGAAAAAACGGATTAAAAATATACCTATATGAATGCCAAATTAAAGATAATAAAATGATCATTTTTGGTGTAATTTATTTCGCTCCAATCTTGGTTATATTTCGTTGATTTTTTTATCAAAAAAATAGGGGGAGGGGAATATTTTTATTTTATAAAAATGGTGGTTGTTACCACCTTTTTAACCACATCCGTCAGATAACCTCAATCTAACGGTTTGGATGAGTTTTTCGGTTCTTTCTTTTTTAAAGGTCCTCTTCGGATACACACACACACACACACACATATATATATATATATATATATATATATATATGTAGGGGAATGTTCATATGAGAAACCCAAATTTTTTTAGAAGGTAAGAATAGATCTCAACCATTAGATAGATTTTTCAATGACCAAGATATTAAGGAAAAAATATGTAAATATAAGCAAAACTGTGACTAATCTAAAGAACCTAAGGAAGTTGAGGTGGGCATTTTGAAACTTCTGTATAAATATATCGCTAATCCAAGTCATTAAATCACTAATCCACTTTTTTTTTTCAAAAAGATTACTCACTTTCTTTTCTAAATAAAAATTAGATTGCCCGTTTTCTTTTAAATTAAATAATCTAAAATATAATCAATATTTTATTTAATTAAATTATACAACGAGAATTTCATTATCTTTAATTAAGATCCATGATGATATATACTTTTTAAGATTTACATATGAATCTTTAACTGATTCAGAATCTCGATTATAAATTATAAATTGATTCACGTACAAGTTTTAATTAAGATTCACATGTGAATCTATGAATCTTAAACTAATTTAGAATCTCAGTTATAGGTTTTAAATTGATTCATGCACTAGTTATGATTAAGATTCACATATGAAGTTGTAGTAGGATTCCCTAGGATTCACATGTTCACATATGAACCAATATACACCGTGTGATAATGGTTGGTTGGTATTTCTTGCGTTCGGTTACATTTCAAACGACCAATGAAGAACATCGATGTTCATGTTCACATATGAGACGTAGGCAAATGAGATTAGATTCGATATATGAGACGTAGGCAAATGAGATTAGATTCGATTTGTAGATTGTAAAATCACCAATAATTTCAAGGTGGAAAATTGGACAAAAAATCGATGATTATTAATATCCAAAAGCTGTTAAAGAAATATAGGAGATAAATTCAAATATTGATTTTTTTCCATAGTTATCTTAATTAGTGAAAAAAGACTTGGAAATAGAAAATTTAAACTAGTGGTTGAGACGACTTCTCCCATTCTTAAAGTTTTGGGGTTTCTCATTTGAACCACAGACGAAATATATATATAGGCGAAGGATCGTGTGATAAGGAGAGTTAAGCTGAGAAGCATAAGAAGGGATCTGGACCCTTGATCACCTTTAATCTCAAACCCATCCATGAATCGCTTGATACGGGGATTGATCTGATGCATCCCGGTGCATCTCATCCTAATGTGCATCCAAGGGTGGAGATCCCTTCTTACGCTTCTCACCTTAACTCTTCTTCTCACCGGAACCCAACCCTATATATGTACATATATAGGTAGTACCCTGATTCCTAGGGCTTCATCTTGTCAAATTCGTTTCTTTACTTCTGTTCAACGGTTTAAGTAGGACTCTGAATTGCATGCTCCTTTATATTTATAACATATGTATAAGCATTCTAATAGGGGTGTGCGCGGTGTGGTTTAGGGCCAAAGTGCACCTCATATGCGGATATGCCTCAAACCGCTAAAACCGCACAACAAAATATGTGGTTTGTACCAAACACACTTCAATCCAATAATTATAAATTGACAATTCAAAAATAAATTCGACAATGACATTTCTGTAATTCATAATTCATACAATAAAGAGTTCCAATAGGTACGAGATGAGTAATTGACGATATGTAACGCAATCTAAAGAGTTCAGTAATTAATCCAAATACACTTGGACAAGTTTTGCTCAAGAGTATTGGTTGCCTTTGTGCTCAACCAGAGTGTCTGCTTCCTACTTCAAAACTTCCTTTTCTAAGTCCATTTGATTATGACATAACAAAACTAACACTAATTCATCAAAGATTATAGAACCACCATGTACAGTCTCTAAGACATGTATATCTATATACCATCAATCTATGGCTCTTAGACCCTGTGATGGTTTTTCCTTTTAATCCAATTAGCTATCATATAGATTATATATTTGTCAAAAGTATGTTTCCACTATCCTTCTGAATTCTATTCATCATTTAGACATTTTGTATTGCATCCTTAGAAAGAAGCTGTGTTATTAAGATTCAGTAACCAAGTAAAATCAGAAGTTTGTAAACCTTGTATTCGGGGGATGATTAATTGATTAGCAACATGCTTTGCATGCTTGATTGGTAATCCTGTTGTTTTAATGCTGCTTCTGTTATTAAAACTCTAATCATTAGTTTGAATTTTCTAGTCACTGGAACTCCTGAAGGCAGCAATATTTGACGAGGAATGTTCACCATGTATCCTGATTCCTGACACAGGCTTAATCTACTATTTTCTTGTCACGATGTTCTGTTTCAACGTACAGGCAAACATATGCAACCATCAAACTTGCCGAAATTACTTCTTAAACAATTAACATGTCAGTTAATGCACATTGTCTTCCTCATGATGACACACTCAGAAAAGGGTAAAAACGGCGAGTTTGGTGGTAACTTTAATGGTTGCCATAAATTTACATTTCAGATGACATGTTATACATTATACTCCTTAATCCTTTCAAGTATTCTCACTAGAGGTGTATGGGCATATTATTGGCATGTTTGAGCTGAATAATCTGTAAGTTTGTCATTCACCATATTTCCTTTCGGCATTTAGTTGTGTAGTGCACAACCGAGCATATGGCAAAAAGATGATGCTTGCCATGGGCAGAGAACTCCATGAATCTAAGCTTTTGCATGCATGTGACAGTGATTTAGTTGTAGCATCTCCGGTGGAGGATTACTTTTTGTATATAGATGATCTACCAGAAGCTGAAAAGGTTAGAATGAGATGAGTGGATAATATTAAGTTATGTTTGCATGAATGTATCATCATCATCTTTATATATATGTGTGTGTGTGTGTGTGTGTGATTGGCAGAAAGAAGCTGGTGAGATGACGCGACCTTTTCTTGATGCCCTTGGGGAGGACTATTCAGTTTGTTGCCAAGGTAATATGAGCGAGTGGCAGTGCATCATATTATAATACTTTGATTTTTATCACTTCTTTTTGAAGGAAGTGTAGAAATCTAATAAAAGGTTGTTTCTTTGAAAAATGGCTACTCTTTTTTTAACCTTATCTATAGCCATAGTAGAACAAGTTATGAGCCTAAAATCATCTTCCATTAATCCTTGTTACCAAATCCGATGCAATCATGCTACAAACTGGACCTGAAAACCTTTTGATTGCATTTGCAGGCACAGCATTTTTCCCTATCCAGAGTTGTATGAACCATTCCTGTTGTCCGAGTGCTAAAGCTTTTAAACGAGATGAGGTATGTGTTAAGTATTCTTCTTATTTCCTTCATCTGCACAACATGGTGTTCATATCTTTCAGATAATGAGAAATGATGGAAGACATAATTCTCATTGCAGGACAGAGATGGGCAAGCAGCCATAATTGCATGCAGACCAATTACAAAGGGAGAAGAGGTAGAATGAATGAATGTCTAGAATTGAGTAAAGATGTGATTAAGTAAAGATGATGATTTCTAATATTTGTTTGAAAATATATATCAGGTTACTATATCATACATTGATGAAGACCTACAACTTGAAGAGAGACAAGCATTGCTTGCAGATTATGGATTCAGGTGTAAATGCCCCAGATGTACTCAAGAAGAAGCAGGCCTAGTTTACACCAAAATTCAATAGCTGCTCCATTAACGAACCTTCAAAACCGAAAAAAGTAACTATTTTGTTTTAATATTATAGCAATTTTGCGTGGTATTTCATTTGGGGCAAAGAATGCGGAGTTTGAAACTTATTTTTATAGCCGAAAATGTTGTTGATATTGTGATATTTTAGTTGCATCATGCATTGGATCTTTTGGGAAGTTCTTCCCCTTAATAGATGGCAAGAATCTGAATGAAAGGAAAAAGTGTTATAGATATAAATATTTAATTGGGTAAAATATTCCAACCAACTTTTCAGTTTTGATTGAAAAAACCATTCAATTTTTCTTATTTTGAATGATTAAGTTCCTTGTCATTAAAACTTTAAAAAATGGTTTCATACATCATTTTACTCCCAAAAAAGCTGTCTGTAACCGGCTAGAAAGATCTTAAAGTAAAAAAACACAAATCAGTTTTACCGTTCACAAAAATGACATGGCCCCCTCGTTACCCTTGCCGATGTTCGTTCTCCATACCGTCTATCGCCTTCGTTGGGCCCTATCATCACTCTCCCTCTATGGAGTTTAAAACCTTTCTAACCGTTTACAATAGACTTTTTGGGTTAAAAGGATATAGGTAATCAATTTCTAAAAATTCGATGATTTATTTATTTTAAAGAGAGAAAAATCTACAAAAACCCATTGGACTTGTAGATTTTGGATGATTTAGTCATTGAATAGTTTTTTTTTTTTGGACAAACAAATCTTTGAACTTTTAAAAACTCGTTATATACATCCTTTTACCACATGGCCTGGACAATGGGTAATTGAACCACACGGATTGGACGATGGATAATCGAACCACACGGCAAACATGGACCGGTGGGCGATGGCCTGGAATGGTGGCAACGGCCTAGATTGTGGCGACGACGGACTAGACTCAGGGCGGTGGCGATGCTGACAATCTGGTTGGGTTGAGGACAGCGAAGACAAGTGGTGTAGAGCTAGGCTGAGGGACCACAATGGCGGGATCAAGACAAGATTGAGACAGGGAGGTAGCGTGGATAGGGCGAACAGTTTAGATTTAGGATGGTTATTAGGGTTTTTTAGTTCACTTTTTACCTACGATGCAAGTTGCAGGTTATATTTTTGGTATTAGGGACGCATTTAATATGTTTTAAAAAGTCTAGGGATTTATCTGACATTTTTTTAAAAACACTAAGTTCCATTGGTTTTCTTTGGACTTTTCCCTTTAAAAAAATGTTTCGAGAACATGAGAAAGTTTAGTGAGATTTAATTCAAAGAAAAAATTAAGGACTTGATCATTCAAAAAAAATTGTTGAAAAAGACACGAGGATGAAGGGTGAGACTCTGTACTCTACTTTCTTCAAAGGGCTTTGTTCTCCCTTTATCTATATAACTTTAAATGAGATTTTAATCAAATCGTGATAGTATGAAAAGCATACATCATACAAAACCGGTAGTCGAATCTTGATTTTGCAAAGAGCTTCACAAGTGCAGGTTGATGTTGATACAAATAAAGAAAACCAATACAACATGGATGAAGTAACACAAAATTAAACAATATCCACATCCACCATCTCATCATCCACATCTGCATTCTCATCTTTCTCCTTGTACTGCATGCAACATATCCATTTAATATCAGTATTAGTATTAGTATCAGTATCAGCATCAATTTCCATTCCACAACAAATACGTGCAACCTAGCACTCACAAACCCAGTAAAGGATAGGGTCTAGAAGGATAAGATGTATGCAGACTTTTGGCTTGTTATACGGGTTTTGTTACTACATTCTTGATGTTGTACCATCTGATGCATAGTTGAATATGGTTATCAAATTCTCTTTAACTAGGTTCAGAATCCACAACTTTAAAGTAGGAAAATAACTTACTTGATTAAAATCAAATCAATATGCATCTCAAGTTGGATATATCTCTATGGCTCTAATTATAGAATTACTTCAAACTTTCCATCTTTTCATACTCCCTCAATCCCAAAATAAATGCAATAACTTGATGCAAGTATTTGTTTTTTAGTCAAAAAAATTTAAACATCTTCTTTAATACTAACAACAGAAGGAAGTTTATAGACCGAAATCCATGTAATTACTATGTTGTACTAATTTACTAATCGGCAAAATGGCAACACTCGATTTAAACTTTGCCAAAAAAGGGAATTGTTGCATTCCTTTCTCCAAAAGGAATTTGTTGAATCTATTTAAAGATATTAAGATTTTCAATCTAGATCCCCAAGAAGACTGTTTTCACATATACTCTTCTGTTGTGCGTAAAACTCAAGGAGTACTTTCATTTGTTCGCCAATCTTCCTCCACCCCCATGTCATGGAATTGGGACCCACAATGTGAAATGGAGAACAGAAGAAAATTGGCGAAATAAGCTAGTAGTGTAGATCAATTTTAAGCAAAAGATTAATCAACGGTATAATAATAATAATATAACTTTACTGAAAAGCTTTTGGTTCCTAATTTGACTAACCTGTAAGTAAGCTTTTTGCAGAACTGAAGGAGGTGGGGGTGGAGGTGGTGGCGGCGGCAATGGAAGTTGACCCTTCTCTCCTCTCATATAATAAGTTTCTTCTTCCTCAAACTTTTCATCCAGTTCAACCACATCAACGAGTTCGTCAGCTGCATGAGCTGCAATCCCAGTTATTGGGAAATCAAGGCCTGACTTGGAATCTTTTAACTGCATGTTCAAAGTGCATTATTACAGATAGACAAACAGCTCTTTGGGTTCTTAGGAATCAAACCAACAGAGACTAGTTTTCAAATGATGGACTATTTTGATACAACTTTACAGTTTCTATAGAAGTTCTTGTAATAAAAACCATCAGGTCAAGCGTTCTCCATGCAAGAAAGTGAAAATTACACATTTTCATAGTCTTCTAATATTAAATAAAAACTTCTAACACTAGCATTGTTAGGATGTATACTGTCACGATTTTTTTTCCCTCAAACTAGTTGGTGTATGCTAAAACTGGAAACGAAAGAACTTATATTGTAAAATGGTCTATCAAATGGTTCAAAAAGGATGTGAGAAAATTATCATTTTATTAGATAAGCGGTTATATGAAAAAACACCAAAATTTAATCTAAAACTTAACAAATTTGACACCAGTGAGACTCGAACCCAGGCCTTTCGTACAAAGGTAGAAGCATTAACCATCTTAGTCATCAAAGTCTTGTGCTTAAATTTCAGTTTCAGAAACTATATGGTGGCACCCAACAAAATAATACGGTGGCACCCTTCATATACATACTTTTTTCCCCTTACGATTGAACCATGAAGCAGTGGCCCATGCCACCGTATCAATCAATGTAGGTCCGCCCCTGACAGTGCTAAGCCCTCCACCTATATCTGGACCATGACATTATCTTATGGGGTTTTAAGACACAATATTAGTTTTCTGTGATATTATGTGAGCTAAACTCTGTCAAAGGATAGCATAATCTCTGCAGATTTTCAATGCGACAAGGTTCTTTCCTCTCATTGAAGGCTTTTTTCATCCTTCCTGCCTTCTAAAAACATGATTATGTGATTCAGAAACAAAGAGGTAGACACTAGATGAGAACAATGAAAACTTAAATGTACAATGTTAAAAGGTTAGTCTTCTATTATTTTGATGACATTACCAATATGGATTCCATTTATATGGCGCAATGATAAAATTGAAGATGCAACTACGGGTCACATTTACTTCATGCAAGAAGAAACAAAAATGAGTGCCACAAAAAAGAGAATGGAGAATGAATAAAAATGATGTAAAGGAACCTAGATATGCTGTCAAAGATTAAGGGCCATCATTTTCCGCATGTAGTAGGTATTGTAACTGTGGTGGTTGTATTTACGGTGATAGATTTGGTAAAAATGGCCCTCATATGGGGCGGTATAGCTACGCATTTACCTTACTTTCGATCTTAAAAATTAGATAATATAGGCTAGGGGTAAGACAATGTATACTTGGTATTTTAAGCATCTTAGCTGATCTCTACTTGCTCCGGGATAATCAAAATCCTTGGGTGATGGATTATACCAAGGAAGAAAATGTTCAACCATCAGGCAGAAAAGGTAACCTAATTTATATATTAGAAGTACAAGAATGAAAACCTTATCTGCCAAGGGACTGCTGGTGAACATGCTATGCTTAGGCTTGCCTTCATTTAGTAAAGATCTACCATTGCTGATTCCATTTATATCTCTTCCAATTTCCTTGCTGTCTTTGAATTGAGTAAGGTCTGGATCCCATCTAGAATGCTTTTCGAATCTCGCTCTTCCAGTACTAAGCCCTTCTCCTTTTGTTACATTCTCTGCTGCAAAGCAAAATCAAAGATGAAGAATGATGACACAAAAAAGCTTACATCCGAATAGATTGTGATAGAAATTAATGATATCATTTAGACATCTTTAGCACAAATACTTAGCAATGTGATAAAGACATCTGGGGAAAAAATGTAGGCAAAACATGTATTAAGAGACATCAGCAGAAATTCATCTATACTCTCTGTTCTTGATCATCAAACTCTTTCTTTTAACAACTTCAGGATCAAAATAACACTCATCATTATTATGTTATTCGTAATATCCCCGAATGTTTATTTCAGTAGGTTTTAATACTATCCCCTCTATGTTAACGCAAAGATCCAAGGCAAGATGCTTAGTTATGGATATCATCTTAAATATATTGCCATATAACATATAGCAAAAAAAAATTGAAACTATGAATGGATAAAAAACAACAAAAGGATGGAATGAAGTAAATTCACCATTTATATATCACATTTCATCAAATTGTAATAGCAAAATCTTCTATTTCATCTGGAATCATGAATTCTTAAAAGAAGTTGACCATTGAATCTCACAATGTAAGAGAGCTAAATTATTTTGTCATAGACAGTGGCGGATGCACAGTATAGGCATTGGGGGCACAGGCCCCCAACAAGCTAACCCCAAGAAACACCCAAATAAAGCATGTGTGAATAAATAGGCACATTGATTTGAAAGACAAGATGTTGAAAGGTTTAGTTGAAAACATAAGGCATATTGCTGTATCTGTATAAGCTAATATGAATACAAAGTATACTTGAGTTAGGACTTAGGGTACAAGTTAAACAAATACTCGTATGTATCAAAGCTTTATGATGAAGAATTCGTGAAGGCATAAGGTTATAGCCATGGTATTGTAAGGTTACGCTAGGGGATGTAAGGTCATGGTGGGGCACTGTAGTCCATAGGGTTATGCCTGGTTCTCAAAACTCTCTTATCAGAACTTAATGAAAGGCATAGGGTTATGGTGGCCAGTGTGAGGTTATGCCAGCCACCTTAAGGGCCTGATGTTCGTTCAGCTGAACAATCTTTTTGAATGAATTCTCAGGCTATACTGGTCATGTCTGTTCCAGGAAGATCAAGAGAGTTTGTTGAGTTCTTTAGGGTATAATAATTAATCTTTAGTTTGTTGAGTTCATTATGGTCAAGCATCCACAAGAACAATCTTCTAATTTCTCTCCCAAATTTCAAGTAGTTTACTTGTGTCCATATTGCTTGTTTAGTTGTGTTATAAACACGTACACATATCATTGAATTCAAGGACACAGAAGGACCACACCATTTTAATTCCAAACTGCTATAAACTAGGCACATTAGGAGCCAAGTGCCCAAGTGATTCTCGTTTATGTTTACATAAACGAGTTGTGTAATTGCCAAGTCTTAGCAAACAAGTTTTCAAGAATGTGAGAACATTTTGTGAAAAGTGTTTAAAAAATGTTTCTGGACTTCTTCTAAGCCAATATAGACTTCTGAACTTGCTATGTCTTATTTTGTCGTTTCCCTGAATCAGCTATTTTTCTGTCCACCAGCATTTTTCAAAGCAAGGACTTCCGGATTTTCATCCCAGATTTTGTCGTTTCTACAACAGCTTTCTGTCTGGTTCAAATGACTACTTTAGAAAGTTCAGATTTCCAGACTTCCTGATATTGCCTGACAGATTTTCAACTTTGGCCATAAAAGGATATCTGAATCTCAATTTGGAAGGCCACACACAAAATTTCCCAAAAGCTTAAAATGTGACCTTTTGTGTGAGACAAGGAAGAAAAACCCGTTGTTTTGCGAAAATGAATTTGGCAATTTACATTTGTTTGTCACACAGCAATGATAATCACTTGAGCATACATGTATTTTTCGGGTAAGTGACTTAGTCTTAAGGCAGATCACTAATTTTGTTGGTGATGAATCACCAACTTCCAGTAAAATTTGTGGGACTGCCCTACATTTTATCGATTGTGTATCCACCATTTAAGGATCACGGTCTTCCAGTAATTCGCCTCCCGTGATGGGTCTCAACTAGGACAAAGGGTCCAAACCACTATACATATTTGTGTCAATTCTTCCTCTCAAACCCTTTATTTTCTGCACTTGTAGTTGAATTGATTTTGTGTTCTGTCAGCTGTTTTACATATATGCAAAATGTAAAAACTTACAACAATCATAAAAACTGGTTACAACCCCCCCCCCCCCCAAAAGGGGCGGGCATCTAGGTTATCTGACAGCCTGTGAATCTAAGGAAGCCGTTGGAAAGAAGATTGGAGCATTTCCTTCTAAGTGGTGCAACATATGTAACAGGGAGCCGTTAATTCGCTGTTTTTGTACTGTATTGCAAATTAAAGTAATTAATACACCATTAAGTACCAACTGGCATTTGCTTTCGAATGTTAGGCTGAAAGAAGTAAACCTTTGTTGTGCTTTTGTGTGTATGGTTGTGAAGTTGACAAGGTGTCTATTCTACAAAGTTATCGAGATAACCAAGTATTGGTTTGAAGCAGGCACTAGATCAATTTCCTTGAATTGAGTTGTGTTTGCCTCATACAATTTTCAATAACCAATAAGTACCTTGTTTTAGATCTTCATACGCTCTTACCCGCAACCTTTTCTTGCTTGGAGAAGCATCATTATGTTGCTTAATTCTTGGGCCCGTTAAATGATTACCCAACATCTCTTCTTCACTCAATATATTAATGTTGACATCCTCTTCATTAGTGGCAGTTCTGACATCCGAACCAAGATGTTCCCCAAGCTTTTGGAGACGAGCTTCTGACCTACATATTGCAGAACTTGTTAACTGGATAAAGAGGAACTAAAAAAGAAACTACCCCAAATAAGGTTAAAAGAAAAAGCCAAAAGATACATAACCAGAGAACATAGAAACAGAAACTTGCCTCTTCAATTCGTCTTGTATCTTTGAATGATGATTATATGCCTTGACAAACTTCCGAATTTTAGAGGAGATTCTAACATAAAAAAAGTATAAGGCATATAAGAAAGAGGGGGTAAAATAAATGAAAGAACACATCAAAGGTAACAAGAAGATTTGGCAAGTAAAAGATTATCAAGATACCTTTTATATTCATCTTTCTCTGAGGACAATTGCATCTCAAGCTCGTTAATTTTAGAATTTAGACTATCTGCTTCTTGCACCCTTTCTTCCAAATAGATCTATGCACCATTCCGTAAATTAAAGTGTAGGATCAAAAGGAAGTACAAATCCCAATAAAAGTACAGCATGCATATATGACAGAGGCAGCTTAAAATACAAGTGAAATTGACATGATTCTTAAATGAAGGTAGTGTGATTGAATTTGAGAAACAGTGCTACCTTCCAGCCATTATTATTAATTGTACATAGCAATGAAGAGATGATCCATGGAACAATCATCTCGTAAAAAATAAAAGAACGCTATTTCAATAAAAGTTAAAAAAATAAAAGAACGCTATTTCAAAAAAAGTAAAAATAAAATAAAAGAACGCTATTTCAAAAAAAGTTAAAAAAAATAAAAGAACTATCAGGATATATCAAATGCTCTAGCACGGGATTCCATATTTATATAAATGATGATGTTGATCAATCATTATTGTTCTAGTTAGCCACGAAACTAGAAGATAAAAAACTAACCTCGAGATGTTGCTTGTCATCTTCCAGCATATCCACTTCCGATTTCAGTTGTTTCAACTGCACAAAATTTTAAAAGGGGACACAGAGGAGATTAAAGCAGACATGATCTGTGACAATTTTTCGGTAAATATAGATTTTCGGAGAAAAAATCAAACCTGCTCGTCATGAGCATTCTTGAATTCTAAGGATGTGGGTTTTCTGTCCTTGGCTTGATCTTTGGCCCCATCTGACATTCTCAAGCTTCCTGAGAAATCACTTTCACCATCAAACTGCTGTCTCTTTTTGTGATTCCAGTCACTAAAACATGCATAAAAGCACAAAGTTAAGAAGGAATGATAATGAGATGGGAAAAGAAACGAAGGAAATCAACAAGATTTTACACGAATAAAAAACAAAATTAGCTTTAGTAAAGAGGTTCAAATCGAACACAACCCAGAAAAAACTATATGTTCTCAGTAATTGCAGAAGCAGCTCTGACAAGCTGAATCAGAAAATGTTATGGAATTCTTATCAACCACCTAATGCCTCGTGTATTGATCATAAAAGGTCATAGTAACATGCACGTGAAGAAAAAATGGTGATTATTTGAATTCAAGGCATTAACTAAAGCGAATCTAGGTGTGGAGACAGCCTGCATTTGTCATATAACATTCATCATCACTAATTAAAAATGCAACAAAACAGAACGAAGCCACAAAATGCTCCAGATCAATCACCTCCTGAAAGGATTCCCTGATATTATAAAGGGATAAAGATGCAACACAACACCTACTCTATAAGTAAGATAAATCAGACATCTTATAGACCATTCTCAATCAGATAAAGCTTGGAAGTAAATGGAATTGCAAGAAATCATGCATCAAGTGAGACAAGCTTGATGTGCTGAAATTAAGTGACCTGTTACTGTTAAAAGTTGAACTCAGTTCCACATTACTCTGTGGAAAGAGGCTGAAGTATGCTTTAAAGAATATCCATCTTAACATCTAAATTAATCTCCCAAGCCATTAAAGCAACAATATTTAAAGAGGACCACAAAATCATATTTCAACTACCTGATTAGTCATAAAATGATAAACGCAAAAGAGAAAAGGAAAACTGAAGGACTCAACCACCAAAGAAACATACCTATTTTTCCCAGACCTTGGAGAATCATGTCCTGCATAATAACAGAAATTTCACTAAGAAAAAATGTTCAAAGTGCAACATAGAAATGGCGTGCATGTGACTCTTATATGAGATGGGCAAAGAAGATGACAACGGAATATAGAATGGCATCTTTAGCATCAAACACGTCCTCATAACCACATGGACCGGAAAGAGAATCTCTCATTAGAGATTCGCATCCTCGTACATTTATCAGAATGAGTATGCCATGTTCATAACTGAGAAACATTGAAACAATGGAATATCAAGGGTGGATAGTCGCTACTTCCCAGAACATAACAGGCTAGCAGAGTTGTTGTAGCCTAATACATAACCAATTGAAAGGAATATATATATATATATATATATATATATATATAAGTCAAGTGTATGGCTGGAGTTTCTGACCACGAAATGGGCGTCGATCTGTTGCATCTGTGTCAAGGAAGTTTCTCCGAGATGGAGAATGCCGTCTGCCTAGCTTATCTCTTAAATCACTACCATGATAGTCCCGTCTCCCTGCAACACATACAGAGTGTTTCAGTTGGTTGGGTACCATCATCTACCTAATTCAAGATTATGAAAACCAGAGACAATATACGACGACAAAGCTAGGCCTTACCATGTGCAGAAAAACATCAGTAACAAAATAATGAACAGTTAAAGTGCCTTCTTTTGAGTTCCGAAGGGGCCATAGGGCATAGATATTATAGCTCTCATATAAAGAAAAGATAAGGATATAGACATATTTGAGCTACAGCACTCAGAAAACCTTCGTGTCTGGATGCACAACTGATTATAGAATATAAATCCTTTCTTCTTGAGAAATATGAACTGAATATTCCAGTTTTCCTCTTGATGTCATTCAATAGTATATTAGTCCATCCTGCATTCAATATATCAACTGGAAAGACCTTCCATTGAATTGATTCCTTGCAATATCTTGTTAATAAATGTAGCAGACCGAAGAGAGTAGCACATGCTCCACGAGTACAGAAGAGAAAAGACAAAAGATTTTGGATGCTTGAACAACTGCATGATACCATATAATGAAACATTTGTGGCATCCACAAAGTCCTACTTCTGATGATTCAGATGATACAGTTGTTTGAAAGATGAATAAGTGCAAACCAAGAAGCAGAAACAACAGCACAAGCAGCAATAAGACAAGCCAACCAGAATCACTTCTTCTGCTAAAAGCATGATAAGCTTGTCAGATCTTATGCCATGAAGACTGATGATGGGATACACAAACTGCTTATAGGATAATGTGTCCCAATGTGAAACTTGATGATCATCTCCTGTCAATCAAATATTTATCGGGGCTTCCCTCATGCATAAGACAGGAAGAAACCGCAGATAAAAGAACCAAATAGAAGTCCTAAACTGTGTCAAGGATGAAAAAGCCTCTCGAGGAATATCCACCTCACAGGCATGAGCCCAGTGGAGTAGGTCAGATATCGCGTACCAAATGCAGATTGCTAGATCTTCATTTATGGAAAATATTTGAACAACCTTATTTGATCATAACAAATGATAGAAGATTGAAATGCAATATGATAATCAAACATTACACTATCAAATTCTCATATCATAAATGGAAGCAAATTCAATAGCAGCAGGTGATCTTGAAGTATCCTCCTTAGCAAAATTTCATAGCTCAGCACCCTTCTAACAAATACAAGGTTGAACTTGGTGCACCAAGTTAAGTGCGTTGCAAAAAACACTTCAAGTTGAAACTGGTAAACCAAACAGAACCACACCAGACCGCAACCGAGTATGCCCGGTTTAGTTCTTGATTCTATGAATTTTGAGGAACCGTTCCTTGGCTTGTCAGGTTCGTCAACGGTTAAAAATGAGCAAAACAGGCTTGATTCTATGAATTTTGAAGAACCGTTCCTCGGCTTGTCAGGTTCGTCAACGTTAAATATGAGCAAAACAGGAACCAAAGTGGTTTTTACTTCTTTTGTTGACAGAAGTCCAAAATGACATCACTTTGTGTCTTCATCTAGATTGCAGTTATTGTATGAACTTTTTATAGACATTGGGATTCAAGTGTTTGGTTGTTGCTCTATTATTTGCATTGGTTTTGCGACATTACAAAAAAATAGATATGAACCTGGATGTGGACCTCAAGTCGACTTCCAAAGACTTGGCATTTCAAGCTTTTATTAGTAGGATTATTATTCTTTCTTAATTGTTTATTTACCATTTTTTTAGTAGAAGTCATGTCCTTTTAAGGAAGTCATGAGTAGGATACAGTAGTATTAGGAGAGTGGGTTAGTTTTAGAATTTGCTTCATTCATATAAGTATTGTACTTCTGTTTTTATGAAAGAAATTAAGCAAAAAACTGTTTCATTCTTCTTCTCTTGAGCTTCAGCTTTTCTTGGAGATTGACCATCTTGAATCTGTCTCTATCAAATGATTTGAATATTGGTCCCAATAACTCTCGATCTTTATTTTCTATTTCCAAGTTTAATTGACACATGTTGCACAAACAAGATAAATATGTAATGGGAGAAATGTTAAAAACCGTTTTTAGTTAACAAGTATCCAAACTATTAAGCAATCTGGTTCAAAATGAACCAACTCTAAGCCGGTACCAAACCTGTGAGGTTCGGTTTTGCTTTGAATCAATGACAAGCCTACACCAAAGTTTACTTGGCTCCGCAAGGGTTAGGAATGGAAGTTGTATACCCAGCCTTTCCATAGAACTTTTGCAAAGACAAAGAAGTAACCTTACTGGCTTCTCCAAGGCTCGCACCTTCTACAAATGGGTGGTTTTAACTCGGCAAACAGTGCATACATAGGACATTAGGCATTTACCCAAGTGAAGAAAATGAGCAAAGAAAGGATAACTTATATGTTTTCAATCCCTATTCTTTAATCCCTTCAATAATTTATAGCTACTAATGAAAACGACTCCATTTTGATTGAAATAGTATTCAGCATGCTTAATTCTTTTCTTTTGTTTCTAGGACTCAACTTAGCATACATATTCCAATTAATCATGCATTGCTCCAAAATAGCGGCTTCCTAATTCCCATAATTCAACTGATTATCAACTCATTATAATGTCCAAATCCCACCTCAAGCATAAACAGAAGAGGGAGGTTAGCCTTTGATTGACTATGGTTGAGGTGGGATTCGGACATCATACGTATTTCGATGTTCGCCTGCGGAACTTCTAGCACAGTCATCACTCATCAATTTCAACAAAAAGTTTGGAACATGTTATGAATTCCAAAAACATAAGAGTGATGCTTATTTAAATTAAATCGCGCGACAAAGAAGATGTAAAGGATCAGAGTGTGTAAAATTAAGTAGATACCATTGAAGGAGGAAGAAGTATTAAATCGACGGAGCTCAGCATCGCCATGAGCAAAAGAGCAGGTCTGACGAGGGCAATGACCCTTTTTATAGAGTACGCAGAGCCTTGTTTTGTAGAGCTTGCGTTCCACCATTGTTAATTTGATGACATGTAATCGTGTAGAGAGGAAGAGGGAGAGATTACCAGTAATAAGCTTCCCAATTATTCCATGCCAATCCAACCTAATTCTGTTTTTCTCACACTATACAAACCTGTAACACCCCATTTTCGAGGTTTGAGACCGAGACCCGAAGGGTGTTGTAGGACGATCTCAGACGGGTAAAGGTTGTAAATTGGGATTCGCTTATTTGAAAACTTTTTATTACTTTGGCACCTATACAAATTGTTTACCCAAACATTCAAAAGTGTTTATTATCGATGACACACCAGAATAAGTCAATAAGTTGTTTTTATAAGCAATCCCAAATACCCCTAACGGAGAGAAAGTGAACCGACGAAAGTAAACATTTTAAAATTTATTAGTTCTTTGCTCGCTTAATGTGGCGGGACGTCAAATTTTATTGTGAATAGAGAAATTGACACCTCAAAGGTACTCGACGTATCTCACTCAAAATCAGGACCCAAGTGATATAAAGGCTACACACATCTAATGCGGGACTTAACTTCAAGCCGTTTACTTAAACGTTTACCTGATAGGTGTTTACTGGTAAGATTCAACACTCAAAACTTACTTTAGCAAGATGTAAAATCTCGTCAAAATCATTCAAATTGTAATTTAGAACTTCTCAAAATGTCAGTCTACTTGTGCAACTGCAACCATTTGTAAAATAAGTGAGATTTTAAACTTAACAAAACAAATAAATCTATGCATTTTAGGGGGTGTTTGGGATTGTTTATTTGAAACAAGTTATGCTTTTCTACAAAAGTGTTTATCAACTTATTATTAGTTAGAAGGGTTTAACTTCTTCAAAAACTTCTTATCACCACTGGTATAAGTTGTTTATCCAAACACTCAAAAGTGTTTATTACCGGTGTCACATTGAAATAAGTCAATAAGTTGTTTTTATAAGCAAATTCCAAACACCCCCTTATTGTCCTATAAATTATAATCACAATCAAGGATAATATCGCAAGTCAATGCAACGGTAATACACTATAGCAACTAACATTTTAATTAATACGTAATTACAAGTGAAAAATAAATGTTTTTCCAAAACATGATTTAATTGATTTGGATTGAAGATCCAAATATCCTCATACAAAATTCCTTATTAGAACCACAAGGGTGGTGTCTCATTAGTTTGAGCTTGTCTTCAAAGATCAAAAGTACCAGGAGGTCCTAGGTTTAAATCCAAGGAGGAATAAAAATCTCCTTGTGGCCACAGAGGTTCAAATGTGATGGCTCCGGGCTATCTGCAAAGCAGGTGGTCGTCCTGGGATTAGTCGGCTCACATAGCGTATTGAATATCCAGGTTAATAAAAAAATCCTTATTAGTAACAATATAAAGCAATTTACATATCCACTATAAATATTCCTTTCCAGAGAGACTTGCATTGCATGGAGTATGTTGCTTATCAAGTTGTGCTTCCGGTCAACAATTCATCTAATCAGCTCCATAGTCATCAAACTGTGATCTTGATATCATTTCTTGCTCTTAATAGCACTAGAAGCAAAGTTAATGCTCTTTTATGAAAAGTTCCATCAAGTAGAAAAGCTCAAAAATACAAATGTACCATTTCATTGATTAAATAAAAAAAATTGACAACTTACTGTTCTACATCTTTTTAGGTGCCAAATTCTACATTTACAGAGATTGAAAAAGCATATAACCGAAGTTTACAAAAGAGCTTAAACCAAATTGCTAACAACAGAAAAAATACCATAAAAATTAAAATAAGTAATAGATTCCCTGAAAATAAAAAGGTTAGAGATGATGTTTCTATAGCTTGATATGAATCCAGTTTCATAAGCTGTATCTTCATCGTTTGATCCAGATCCAGTTACTTGTTTGAAAAGTCAAGAAACATATTGTTAAAATATTAGATCTATAGAAACATGGTTATCAACATCAACGATATGAGAAATTATATACAAAAACTCAAATCATAAAATCTTAAGCTTGTGGAATCAAGAAACCGATCCTCTCCAAAGTCCAAACCGTCCATCAACACCTGGACACGTGCACCTTACATCGCAATTAAAGAACAGACTTAAAATCATGACCACTTATATCGATCATTGCATTATAAGTCTCCTGTTACAAAAAAAAAGTCAAGAAAAAAATAGTTGGCATTTTAGAATTTAGACTACTACATAATATGCAAACCTTATTTACCCACTAATGTCAATGAACATCTTGATTGTATATGCTTTTTGTTCATTTGTCAAAAACAAATTGTTTTACAATTAGTTTCACAAACCCACATGTTCATGAAAGAAATGATACCTCTACGAACTTTTGCATTGTGATGAGATGTATGCTGAAGAAGCTCTTTTAAAGTCAAACCTTTTTGCTCACAGATGAGACGACCTTATCTGATGACACACTTTGTTCTGGCAATATGATTGTTGCACATAACATGTTGAGATGTCAAACACACTATGAGTCGTTATCATTCTCTTAAGGGACTGATCTAGAAAGGGGAAAAGAAGGGGAATAACAGAACCTCGGTCATCATCATCGAAGATAGTTTTGTCACATTCTACTTCTAACTAATATATAACTTCCTTATAATATATAGCTTCCTTATAATACTAACATCAACAGGTGTATTTGGAAGTATCACAACACTATTTGTGCCCAAAGATGGCATAATATATTATGTGGTTGGTAACCAACCATTTATTACTTGATTTATGAAATTCATAGTAATAGAGATATGTGTCCCACAGAGACATAATATGCAACTTGCTATCTCGTAACCTGGCATGCAAGATTTGCCTCTGTGGAAAGGACAATTCATTTACATTGACATGACAATCCAACTAATTACATAGGCAAAATCCATGTTCTATGTAATTGAAGGAGGTTGACTTCCTTTCTTCTCATGGTACAATACTCATCCTGTCAAGCTTTCTTTCTCCTCGGACCACAGAAACAACATGTCTACGGAGGGATATAGGTAGGCTGCCCTGTCACACTTAAGGCATTGCTTTTACATCTTAATGTCAAGTTATTTGTATGGATATTTTGCTCGAGAGCTTGACGATTTTATGAAACAGGTCCAAGTAGCTCAACTCAAGTGGTTACAATAAATGAATAAAAAAACATGTGTGCCAATGTGGATTCCCCATATGTAAGCCACACTTTTATAGCTCAGCAATATAGCAGCATTTTGTGTAGTTCAAGATGACCTATCATTATTTTTAACAACTATAACAAATATACCATGACTCGTTAATCCAAATAAATATAAGATTAAAGCATGAGGGAATGGACAAACTGACCTGAAGGGTGTAGATCATCTCAATTGTAAATGATGGGCTATGTTAGTTAATCTGATAATAATTAGATGGAAATGATAATAATGGTTGATATACTAGTTAGAGTATATTTATGCAATTGATTAAAAAAATTGTTGACAAATGTAACCAAAAAACTATGGAAGTTCTCCAATAGCTTGTCTATTTTGAGCCAAAAGATCAACATGAAAATTTTCTTTTTGTGGCAAACTGCAGTTTTACGATATGGCGAACAAGATGATCCTATTTACATCTTCAAACTTGAATGTCTAGAAAGGGCCAGTGTGTGCATATGAAATAATGAATTGTGATTGTTTCTTTAGAGAGATGCAAATTTATAGACAAGGAATAAGGGAAAAAATCCAGAAGGGTGTTTTAAATAATAATCAAAGTTTATTATGGCAGAAAATGAGATCAAACAAGCTCATAGAAAGCTTATAGGAAGCTAAAATATCAAATGTGAACTTTATCATATGCTGAAGCATATCACGTCGAGAAATAGTGCATTCATCTGCCTCTCGTCGACAGTTAAATTGGCTGATACAGTAGTTGCATTTGTGTCTGTTCTGGTGGCTGCTTAAACAACAATTTCTGAAACCAAATCCTAATAATCAGGACATGGTAGACATAAGAATAGAGAGTAATAATCATAACTTGAGCAGGGCTAGAAACATAAAAATACATGCCTGTATAGACGAAAAGATCTTCTCCAAATCTTTAGCAAATGCCCTAGTCCACATCCACGTTTGTAGCACCCGTGTCAATCAAGGCAGAGGCCATTGACTCATATTCTTCAGTTGCAAGTGAACCCGAAAACATTTCCATAGCACTCCATGTTTTTGGTGATATCAGTCCCACAATTCCTACAACTCATAAATTATGGTTCAGGTGATGTAGCCTATTGTCTAATTGCAAGTTTGTGTAATAGAAGCAATACTTATAATATGCACCCACAAAGCCATTAAATGGCAAGCCCAGTGTATAAATACCTACTAAAATCAAGAAACCCAATACGACCATCACGTAATACCCATAAGTTACCAGCATGTACATCTGCATGGAAAGTTTCACATGCCTTTAAACTACCAAACCTGCAGAAAATTATCACAAAAAAGCTCATTAAATTTCAAATATAAGTCCAACACAACACGGAACAACCATGGTATAGGGGGAATGAGTTAATGAAATCTTAGCCATACCATACGTTAAGGGCAGTTACAAGACTGGTCTTTAGGCTTGAAACAAGAGAGCTTATTGAGTCCAAGCCAGTAAGAGGAACTCTCTATAGCCTCTCCATTGTCAGAACTCGCTTGGTACTGCATTCTGGATACACTTTTGGAGTTGTGGCTTGCCTAGTAAGCTCCATTGACTCCAGGTATATTTTGAAGGACTCCATGTTCGATGCCTCTTTCTTGAAGTCCACTTCCTCAAGCATTGATGCTCTTATGTCATTGACAATGACAACCTACCAAAGGGATTCAGGAATTACAACGAATTCTTTAAAACCACCCTATTTCTATGTAGAAATGTCCACATCATACTAGTGACGCACAACTCACTTCAGGATTAAAGAACTCTATAATGCGAGCAATTGATAAAGAATATTGCACTTTCAGATATCGTGATCTGAAAGTGCAATATTCTTTATCAGAAATTTTGTTTAACATTTTGGAAAATGTGATCTGTAAATGAAGTTCATATTTGCTACTAATACATCTTCAATTCCAGGCTTCAAGACTTTTATTACTACTTCTGCTTGTGACCCTTTAAGCCTAGCTGCATGTACCTAGAGATCACATTTTCCAAAATGTTAAACAAAATTTATGATAAAGAATACTGCACTTT